AATCTCCAGTTCCTCATGTGGAGGTCCGAGAGGGGCGTTGTCGTACTGGGCCTGCTCCTCTGCTGTGTAGACATGCCGTGGCTTGCTGTCTGTGTCAGGGGGTGTCGCCGGCTCTGGAGGAGGGGGGGGGTGGGCGTCTGTGGAGCTGGAGCTGGCGGCGGCTGTGGGTGGCGCTCTGTCGGTGGTAGGTGTTGTCCCCCCCGGACCTGAGGTAGGCCTGCCGAGGAATTTGTCCATGGCTTCTTTGAACTGTTGTTCGGAGGCTGTGTCGGCTTTCGTCCCCCGTGGTGCTGTCGAGGTTTCGGTGGGCGTGTGTGGAGGTTCTGCTGCAGTTCGGGCCCGACTGGCCAGGATCCCCCATCCGGGGCCGTGTTGTGGTTGAGGGTCTGGTCTGGTGAGGTGTTCGCCTGCCCATTGCCTCTGCTTGAAGACATGTTTGCCTTCCTTGTTGCCGACCCGCTGCGACCCGTGACCTGCTCCTCGCGTGGTCGTGTGTTTTGGTTTGCTGAGGGGTCTCCCCCATCCTGGGCGTTCCCAGGGGGGTATGCTGCGGTCTGTAGGTGAATCGTCGGCGGTGTGGTCGTCGGTGGAGCTGGCGGTGTCCGTCCCGGGTGGGGGGCGTGGTTGCAGGAACTCTGGCACGGCTTTAGCTCCATGGCTACGCGGAGGGGGTCCGTCTTGGGGTGACACTGGCTGCAGAGGGGGAGGTGGTATGCTGCAGGATGCATCGATGGGTTGTCCCGCATCTTGGGCCGGTTCTGGTGGGGACTGGTCAGCTTGTGGGGCCGCCTTTTGGTCTGGGGGCGGTTGGCACACTCGTTGTAGGTAGGTGGAGGGGAGCTGGCCAGTGCTAATCCACTGAGTGTACTCAGTGGTGCTCATGTCAGGCAGTGGTCCTGTGCCGGGTGGGGGGAGCCACGCCTGGATCTGTGGTGGGGTCTGCGGTTGCTGCGGAGCCGGGCCATCTGTTTGTGCCGATCCCCCTTGCGTAGTGGCAGCAGGGTGGTTTGGTGGTTGTTGGGTGTCAGGAGGTTGGTCATCCTGAGGGTTGTTCCAGGGGTCACAATCCCAGTCGTAGGTGGGGTGGTAGCCATGGACGTCCTGTGTTTTCCGTGGAGTTGCACAGCCTTGTGCGCTGGGTGTGGCTTGTTGTAGGCTGCTTTTTCCGGCTGCAGTTTGTGGGGGCACTGCTTGTGGCTGGGGGGGGGCTTGGGTGGTGGGTTGTGGCTGCAGTGGTTGTGTGTGTGTTGGCTGGCAAGCCTGTGGCCCAAGTTGGTAGGCGGGTGGTGGGAAGTAAAACTGGGGGTGAGGCGGCTGTGCACATCCCCCGGGTGCTGTCTGCTGACTAGTCCAGCCTCCCCATGATGTTATATAGCCGTTCGGCGTAGCATGCGTTGCTGCCCATGCCAGCTGGGTGGGGGGCTGGTCTGGTGACCAGTGCTGGTTCTGCCACGGTGGTGTAGCTGGGGGAATCCCAGGGGGGGTGTCCCCCGTTGTGGCTGCTTCGGCTGGGGGGTGAGCCGAGGTATCGGTGTGCGCCTGTGGCAGGGCAGAGGGGGGGGTGGGGAGGGGGGAGGGGAAGGGTGGGGGTATCGCGCCGTGGGGTGTCCCCCACCAAAAGATTGCAAGGAGTCGGATGCTCAGCATGTCCGAGGTTGCAAAGGTTTCTGTGCTTGATGCTTGTCGCTTTGTTGCAGCGATTAGCTTCAGCCGGTCTTTGATGTATATTGTACAAAAAGGTATGTAGGTAATGTAGAGAGTCATGTCCAGGAACACACGTGTTTTGAGCACGAGTCGGTAGTCAAGCGCGGCCAAGGTATAGAGGTGCATGCGGGATGACCTCTGCACACTCATGCCCCTTTCACCTGCTGTCACTGTCCTCGCAGTTCATTTGTAGGCTTGAGGGCAAGTAGTATGTAACTGTCGCTCAGCAAGTAAAGGACTCCCAGATCGTAGAATTAGTGGTTGTTGATGGCTTGTTTGTGGTGTCTGCGAGCCTTGGGAGTCGCACGTCTCCCCCGGCTGTTCTGATGTCTTTCCCCGTTGTTGAGGATTCCTGCAAGAAAATTCTGGTCGCTGTGTGTTGTGGTCGCTGGAGCGAGATTGGCGATGCTTCCTTGCTTACCACTGCTCCAGGGTACATCATGTCTCTCAATGAACGTGGCTTCCAATTCCCCCCAGGCCTCGCGGTCTTGTGCAACGGCAAACCAGTTTTTGCCGGCGGTCTCACTGAGTTGGCGGTCTATGTCCATGTAGGCATTGAAGCGGGCCGCGTGTTGTATGTGGTTCCCCCGGTCCTTCTGGTCTTGCCACCACTGCAGGCTGTGCCATTGAAAGATACGTCCTCCAACGGGATCACCTCTGCATATGTGGCCGACTGCAGTCCAGATCTGGGATAGGACGAAGGTGGACCAGCGAATTCCCCCGCAATGGAAGAGGGCGAGGCGGCTTCTGCGGAGACTTCTTTTGTTCCATGTTGCCCACTCCTCGCACGGTTGGCGTCGCAGGCCGAGCATCACTCTCACATGAGAGAGTTGTATGACATTGACTGCTCGCAACAGGCAGCTATGGCATGGCCACGTTTGGCAGGCCCATAATGCACTCTGTCTCACAAGGACGACGTGGATCTGGAGTTTCTGCCGAAAACTTGCATCGGACGTGAAGGATTCACGGTGACTCCAGAAGGCTTTGCGGGCCCGACTTTGGGCCTCTGCCAATAGCATCGCGGTTCCCCCCTGGAATGACAAAGGACTCCCCAGGACGTGGAACACGTGCTTTGGCCCTTTCGTGGGAACTCTTTCCCCCGCAACTTGGAAGGAGGTCTCTACATCGGAGTTGCTGATAATGTCTGTCTTCCCCGGGTGCAGATGGAGTCCACGCCGAGGTAGTCGACCATCAAGGGAGGTCAGCATATGTTGGAAATGCTTGCGATCCGTGGACCAGATGTAATTGTCGTCCATGTAGCTCCCCCCGTCTTCTGGGGGCGAATCATCCCCCGACGGTTTTGACTGGCGGGCTTCATGGATGGCGGCATCGAGATCATCAGCAACCACTGCTCCAAAGGCAACAGGGCTTTCAGGTGCCCCTTGGCGCACGCCGTTGCTCTGTTGTATGGGGATACTCTCCCCCGCGACCTGTATAGTGATCTGTTGGGCGTGGAGCAGGGCGACCCATGCTCGTGCCTCCCACGGGAGCTTCGCCTTTCCCCCGACCACATTGCTGACGTGCTGGGCGAGGCTTTCTTGGTAGATGGAGTCGAAAGCCTTGCGTATGTCCAGTTTCGCGATGTAGAACTCCAGGCCCCAGTCACGTGCAACTCTGGCCAGGCGCCTCAGGATCATGATGAGTTCGACCCCTTGCCTGCCTTTTCTGCACCATTGCAGTCTTGCGGGGCTCTGGATTGCATCCCCCGCTCGTTGTAAGAGGAGTTGCCCGAAGGTCTTGAGCAGCGTGGAACTTAAGGTGATGGGTCTTGTTTCGCTCCAGTCCTGTGGTTGGCTTGTCTTTGCCAGAAGTATAGTCACCCCGGCCTCCACGCTTTCGACGATACGACATGTGTAGAGCATGTCATTGAAGATGGCCAACATGCGGTTCCCCCACACAGGGTGAGGCAGCATTGCCTTCAAGGCCTCGTGTGAGACCATGTCGGGCCCGCAGGATTTGCCATTTTTCCATTTGGCTTTGACCTCCTGCAGTTCCTCGAGTTGAAAAGGTTTCCATGGTGTAACTTTGCACTCTCGCTCGAGGTTCTTGAGGATCCCCCGCATGACGTCTGTCACTGTCTGTTGTTTTTGGCGGTGAAAGATCTTCTCAAAGTGCTCAACAAGCGCTTTCCGCCAATTGTCCTGGTCCGTGAGCCCGAGTTCCCAGGAGTGATCGCGGGATTGTTCGATCAGGGCCTTTTTCATCCCCCAATCGAGCTCCGCCACACGTTGCATAGCGAGCTGCCTCCACTGCCGATGCTCATCCTTGTGCATCTTGCGGGCAAGCTTCCAAAGTCGTCGGCGTGCTTCCCCCGGGGTTGCCAAGAGTGCTTGTCGGCGGGTCGCTCGCAGCTCGGCTGACTCACGGAAGGGCTTCTTGTCTTTGCCAGGTTTGGTAATGGCGACAGCGACTGCCTGGAGCTGAGCTACGGGGTCTCCCCCGACCTGTGTATCTGCATCGAGGATCTTGTCTACCTCACTCAAGGAGATGAGATGCCTTGCCGACCATGGTGCCGGTTGCTGTCCCCCAGTTGCTGGGCTGAGGCATAGCTGTGTGAGAGGTACTGTCACCGGCTCATGGTCTGAAGTTGCTATGTCCCTATGTGCTAAAACGCGACCGGCATCACAAAGCAACTTCTTGGCAAGAACATAGTCCAATCTCCGAGGTTCCAACTGTTGGTTGTAGGGAAAGTGGCTCGGCTTATCGAGTTCTTGAGGCGGGAAATGACACTGTTGTTCCTCAAACCATTCCAGGAGCAGTTCCCCCCGTGCTGTCGATGCTTTGAGCTGTCGGTTCTGCCGGGCACACGAGAATGTCTCATTGGCATCAACCCCAATCACGGCTCGGGTGTGTGATTGTATGTGGCTGTGGATGCTCTGTAGGATCTGTTCGGTGGTTGATAAGGTTGCATGATGTGGAATGTGAAGTGAGAAAGCTCCTAATCGAAAATCGGAAGAAGCCAAGGTGCAAGAAATCGCACATGGCAGAATCTTTCCCCGGGAGTGCCGCAGGTTGGAGGTGTGGACAATGGCTGTCCCCCGCCAATCATCTTCGCGTTTTCCGAAGATCATGTGCAGCTCTTCCAGAGACAAGTGGTGTTTCCCCCCATCGCAGATGATCTCTTGGATGGAGACGATGAGGGAGTCACAAAAAGGTTGAATTCCTTGCCGACGGAGTGCCAGGATAGCTTCCAGTGCTTTAGCCGCAGTGAGCCCCCCGACATTCCAGGACAGGACATGCACTTTCCCCAGCTCTGCTCGCTGGGCTGCCATGCTCCCCCTCGGGTCTCGCCGAGTTCACTGCAGCGCCTTGCGAAGTTCCCCCCACTTGGAGGTAGCAGCTGCTTCCGAAATCCCGATTTGGCGTGCCAGGGTGCCAAGGTGGACCCAGCCTGCCTTTTCCACTGAGGCACCATCGGGAGGCGAGGTAACCCCGGAAGCGACTTTGATGCTGTTGTACCAGAGGTTGGCAGTCCCGTACTCGACGTCGATGCGGCGGATATCCCCGCCTTCCTCAATGATCAATCGTTTAACTTTTCCTGCTAATTGTGCACGCTTGCGACGCTCGGGACTCTGGCTCATGGCAGCGAAGAGGTATCTTTCCCCGCCCTCAGGTTTCTGTCCAGTAACTACCTTAGCGGCTCGAACAGCACGAAGGGCTTCTTGGACGCGGGCTCGTTGTTCTTCATCACTTTCCCCCAGGTTCTTCGTGAGGGGTACGAGGGCGAAGCCTCTACGGAGCCCGGGAACAAAGGCCTTGCTGGTGTCGAGGTCGATGTTGAGCTCTTGGAGGTGCTGTTTGACCAATCGAAGTGTGTCCTCATGGTGTTGGTCTGCACTCCATCCCCCGACAACGATCGCGGGGCGTTGATTCCCCCCGTCCGTGTCGGATGTTCTGGTACTTGACAAAGAAAAGTTGGCTTGGGCAAAACGTCCTTCGAGGGCTTCCAAACGCTGCACCACGGCTTGCTGTCTTTCGTCAACTCCCCGGACACTTGCTTCCATAGCACAATGGCGGTCTGTCATAGCTTCCAAGAGACGGGTGGTGTTTGAAACGTGCGCCTCCACTGTCTGTTCCACAGTCGTTACGCGACCGGTGAGTCCATCGATGTCTTCACGAACTTGTGCAACGATCTCTTCCCGGTTCTCCTTGAGGGCCGCCAGAAGAGTCGAAAGTGTAAGAGGCTTGTCGTCGTCGTCGATGTCGTCTTGTTGTGCGGGTCGCTTTCGGCCGGCGGGTGGCCCCCCGGTGTCGGCTCCCCCAGTAGGCGAACAAGGCGATCTCGTCGTTCCTGCCATTATCACGGACTGGTAGTAGTCGCCCGTCCTCGCCCAGCGTAGACGCCCTCAGACAGCTCGCCAGTGCTCTCCCCCGCCCACGTTGGGTCGCCGATCGCGGCAGTGGTGAGGTATGACAAAGTTCAGAAGGTACAGCGCACAGCCACCCTCCGGGACCGATCTCCACGAGTTCCCCCGGAAGAGCGTTCAAGGAGAAGACGCGTAGTACCGCAAAGACGACGTACAGCTTGCACAATGGCTCTCTCTCGCACCAGGATTTCTCACACACTCCTTTTCCCCCTCTGGTTGCTCCCCTTTTGTAGATACCTCTCAGGGCTCGGGGCTCGAACCGCTCACGGCTTGAGCCAAAACACCTGCTGTCACTGTCTCCGCAGTTCATTTGTAGGCTTGAGGGCACACACACACTCTCCCTCTCTCTCTCTCTCTCTCTCTCTCTCTCTCTCTCTCTCTCTCTCTCTCTCTCTCTCTCTCTCTCTCTCTCTCTCTCTCTCTCTCTCTCTTCTCTCTTTTCTTTCGCCAGGGTTATGGTATAAGGGCTTTACCCCTTATACCGCGCGCAGGTGCGCCCCCGACGGGTGTGGGGCCAGTATGTTACATGCAATGCCCACGGCTCAGTGTGTGCTCTGTTTCACACATCACTCGGCAACTGGAATCGGCGGGACGCCAACAAGAGATCCATGGCGTAAAAAGATGACATGAGGAGCGATCCCTTTCGTGTTCCAGTATCGGGGTTTATCCCCGTCCGTGAGTCTCGAATTGCTGCACGTGACCTGCAGGCTGTTCGCGAAAGACAAAAGAGTCAATGTTCTAAAGTCATTTCGCCTGGGCCCGTGCTTTGCTGGACGTCTCCAGTTTGCTTATCTAAGGCTGCCTGGCACATCCACAAGAAGCAACATCTAACACCAAGCCCGAAAAAGGAACCAAAGAGAGTATAGGTACATTGGCCAGGAAGTGCAGAAATTTTCTACGGTCGATCTCGGCTTTCACTCGGGCAGCACACCAAACAAGACGAAAGAAAAGATACAGTGCAAGGTTCAGTACGCCGAGGGGGTCGACCCCTAGTATCAGTGATTTTTCCTAGTTTGGGCGTCCCCTGTGAAGTGAAACTACCTTGATCTGCACCCAGTTGTAAGTCGAAGGATACGGCGAAACAAATCAGACACTGTAGTATACAGTCGAGGACTAGGTGCAGCTGTAGTACTGGGTCGAGGGGCTACCGCCTGGCATGGGATTTGTTTCCTGGGCTCTCACGAGGGCAGCAACAGCAACACGACTGCGAAACAAGAAACCGACAAGTGCAGGGAACTAGTACGCCCAGGGAAGAGGTTCCCGTATACCTAAGGTGTGTGCGGCACTCAGTGGGCTGTGGCCCCTTTTGCAGCAGCAGCGTTCTCAGGAGTCTTCCTCCTCCTGCTCATCATCCCCTTCTGGTGTGCCGTAGAAGGCGGCGTGCATGCGCCGTCTACGATGCGATGATGCTCTAGCCAGCGGCATCGGTCGTTCCCTCGGCCTCGGGCTGCGGGACCTGAAAATCTGCGTAGGCGCGTCGGAAGGAGATCCCGTCTCTTCTGTTGGTCCTTGGGGTGCTCCCCCTGGCATCGTAGCTGTATCAGGGCTTTCGTTGTTCTCCGTGCCCCCGTCGACTAGGTAAATGGGGTGACCCCAGATAGACGTAGTCCATGAGAACAACAATCCGTGCGCTTCGGCCACCAAAGCTGCCTCAGCCTGGACTAGGAAAGGTAGGACTCTTTCTAGCAGCTGCTGCGCTCTCAACACTTGGTATGGCGTGGCGTCCTCTTGTCCTTCGGCACGCAGGCGGGGATCTCCCCGAGGTCGTTCAGGTTGTCCTTGAAGTCCTGGTGGGCCGGGTCGTTCTTGTAAGCCTGGTACTGGTAGGGCTCGTGGCAGAGGTAGTCCCGGATGTAGTGGTGGTGTTCTGGCTCTCGCAAGGTATCTATCGTAGTAGACGGCAGTGCGGTCAACGGTCGCCAGCAAGGCATTGATGGCGTCGAGGATTGTCGCAAGGCCTCGTTCCTCAATTGCCAAATCCAAGAAGACGGCCTGTGAGGCAGCGTTTTTGGTTCCAGCCAGGGCATCCAGTGCAGCTGCTTGATGTGGGCCATCCCCAGATTTGAGGTCTTTTCTCATCTGCTGAATAATGTCCTGGATGCGGTATGATGTCTGCCTCATGTTCTTCAGTGTTGCACTGTCCAGGTTGTCTCGGAGTTGTCGAAGTAGTACTTGTACTTCTGCAAGGGGGTTAACCCCTGTTTGTTGCTGTCCGTCCAACACAGTGCTGCCCAGCTCTCGGTCAGCAGCCGATGCCCTTTGTAGTTCATGTACTCTGGCACAGGCTTTGTAGGCCAGCGTGGTGACGTTCTCTCGCGGTTGTAGGAAGCTTTGTTGTAGTAGAGCATGTAGAATATTCTGCAGGTTGGCCAGGATTTGTTCCGGCCCGGCGGCAGGAGGTAGTATGTGTGGATCCGTAGAAGAAGAGGCTCCGGAGTTGTTGTGCTCAGGTTCTGGATCATCCCCGGGTCGTCGTGGTGCATGGTCACGTCCTGGGCGGCCCGATTGCATCATTGCCGCGTCTTCGTTGTCTCTGTCTTCGCTTGGCCAGCTCGATTCCGACTCCGATCCTGTGGAAGTGGGGTGAGGTCGATGTTGTGGCAGTGGTTGTGTGGGCCGTGGGTTTTGTCCAGGAAACCTTGGCCGTGTAGTCGGATCTTCTCTGTGTTGAGGTTGTGGATGTAGAGGTTGTCGTTGACGGTCTCCCTGCTGTGCCGGCGGTTGGGTCTGTGTGGGCCGCGTTCTTCCTGGCTGTCCTGTAGGATCTCGTCGTTCCGGAGGTGTTGGCGGTCTCGGGGGGTGCTCTGGTGGGATTTCAGAAAAGCCTCCCAGTAGGATGTCTCCATCGAAGCGCGGTCTGCGGGCCCAGAGTCGGTCTTGTCCTTTCCACTCAAGCCAAAATGATTGTCCTGCAGCGAGGGGGATCCACCCCTGGGATTCGTTGTGAGTTGGAGCCTCGTCGATGTGGACGAGCCAGTAGCGAGGGGTCCGGGAAAAAGCGAGCTCGATCTTTGTCATCCCGATCCATGGCCCTGTTGGTGTCATCGTCAATCTTGTGCCTGGTGCTAGGGTGGGACCTTTTTCAACATGGCTGCTCAGGGTGTTGAAGATGACCGCCGTAGGTTCATGCCGGTGTCGATCGGGATGTCTTACGGTGGTTCGATTTGCAGGGGTCCACACCACCCCGCGCCAGGCCCCGTTGGATGCCCCTCGCAAAGTCAAGATCTCGTTCTGGCTGAGCGGGATCGCTGGAGGTAGGGTAGTTGGGGGACTGCCCCAGTTCCAAGATAAATCCTGTGTGTTCGCCCCTGTACGAATAGAGCTCTGTAGGGAATTGTTTGCAGCTGCTTCTCTCACCTTCCATGGGGGGGTACTCCCGATGTTGTCGCTTTTGTGGCGTCGGCCTCCAGGTCCATGATGTCGTTTGGCGTGGCTGTTTGGCCCAGGGCTTGCCGAGCTGGAGGGTCAGAGCTGGATCCCGCGCTGGAGCTGTCGTTGCCTCGAAGTCGTGGTGGTTGGTAGAAAAGAGGGGCTCCCCTTTGGGTCGTGGGTGCCTGATCTTGATGTGCATGTCGTCCAGGATGTTGCTGTGGTCTTGGAGGCGCATCTCTGGGAGCATTGTTGTGGATCTTGTCCAGGTAGTCCGTGGTGTCAGAATGCAGGGAGTCTGGTCTGTTATCGTCCAGGTAGATGGGATAGTTCTTCACCCCGTCCAGTTTCAGTTGCAGTTTGTTGCTGTCAGAGAACTTCCGGAGCACAGGTTGCCTCCTCGTAGGTCTGGGTGGTTCTTCTCGGTGGTCAGCGGGCAGTTGAAATTGTACTTGAGCTCGCTGGCGTCGTTGCCGTGGTGGGTCTGGGGCTCGTCGGTCTTGTTCCACTCGAGGTGCAGCCCCCGTTGAAGAGGTTGGGGCATTGTTTTGAGGTTGTCGTAGATGAAGTGGCTGGAGGTACGGGTTGTTGTTCTGCCTGCGCTCATGATCTTCTGCAGCTGCAGTGTGTGCCTTGCTGTCCTGGGCTTGTTGTGGAGGAGGTATTGAGTCACCAGGCTGGGAAGCTTGATCGCGGTTCGTCTTGATGACATTGCCTTTGGCATCTCTTACATAGTCTTGAGCTGCAAGCATCGTAGCAACCATGCTTTGGTGTTCAGGACTCACCCTGGGTTTGGTTGAGGGGGGTCTGACTCCCCTCTGAATGTATGGCAACGTTTGTCGCCAGCTGAGCCACGGGGGCTTTTCCCCCCACTGGAGGTTGCGCCACAGTTGTTTTACATCTGTCTTCTGCCCCTTGTTTTTAACTCTTTGGCTGCCGTGCCCGGCCTTTCTTTTGCCTTGCTTCCCCTGGCGATCGCTTTGTCCTTGATGTGACGAGGAAGGTGCTGGGTCCAAATCATCCAGGTTGGAGCTCGATGCCGAAGAGGAAGAAGAGGATGATGTTTCCGAATCGTCTGTGGCTTTTCCGTCGCTGCCAGTATCATGGTTGTCGTCGCTGGTTGCCCTGGGGTCATGACTCCCCATGTAGTCCTCCCGGTCTGTCTTGGTTGTTGGATTGGAGGATCTTGCCGAAGGGCTCGCTGGGGGTGTGGCTGAGGAGGTCAAAGTAGGTGGCTGCATGGCTTCCGCTGTCTCCTCGGGCGCATCCTTTGCTGGTGCTTGAGCTGAGCTGCCGTAGTGGAGGTCGAGCGCAGGGTCACGGTCCGATCCAGCATCGTGGCCTGCCGGTGGTTGATCAACTTCAGGCTCAGGTGGTGCATGTGGTTCATTTGGATCGCACGTGCTGGCAGTGGCAGAGTCATCCTGTTGATCTCGCGCATGTAGAAGGTCTAGTCCCAGCGGGTTGTTGTGCCACTGGTGCGGTGGGAGGAGAGGTCCCTCTCCCGCGTAGTGAGTGGCTAGGAAGTTCCAGGGGTCCATGGTAGGTGTCGGTTCGACTTCATCTGCATCTGCTTGTTGTGGTTGTGGTTGCGAGGGACGTTGTACCTGTTGTGCCTGAGGTCCTCGGTGGTATTCCGGTGGCTGGAGGACCATCGGTTGTTGAGGTAGATGGTGGTGGTGGTGAGGATGTAGTAGAGCTCCCTGTGGTTGTTGTTGTTGGTGAGGTTGTTGAGGTAGTGGTAGAGGTCGGTAGCCAATCTCCTCTGCGGTGATATAGCCGTCTTCATGCCAGGGGTCATACTCAGCCACGTAGGTCGGGGCAAAGCCTTTGGCCACTCCGAATCTGGTAGCTTGATGCGGTAGGGCAGGAGGTTGGTGATGTGGTGGGAGTTCTTGTTGAGCTTGCCGGGCTTGGTGCGCGATTGCAGATCGGAGAGAGTCCGGATGCTGGTCCTGCTGAGTGGCAGGATCCAGGGCTGCATCCGCGTCCTTTAGTGGTCTCGTCGAGGAGGAGGCCGAAGTCTTAGAAGGAGTGGCCGGTGTTGTGCGTTCGGTTCGCTGTGTGTCCAGTGACTCGGTCGTCGGGGGCCAAGTAGGAGCTGATCCCGGATCTGTTTGCGAAGCTCGATGTGGTAGTTCTGGATCGTGCGATCGAGGAGGCAGGCCTGGTTGAGGTAGTGCTTGCGCTCTTGCTGTCGTGGGGCTCGTGGAGGTACTCGCTGAAGAGGTTCCCGTCTGGATCTGTTGCGAAACTCGATGTGGTAGTTCTGGATCGCGCGATCGAGGAGGCAGGCCTGGTTGGGGTAGTGCTTGCATTCTTGCTGTAGTGGGGCTCGTGGAGGTACTCGCTGAGGAGGAGGTTCCCGTCAGGATCTGTTGCGAAACTCGATGTGGTAGTTCTGGATCGTGCGATCGAGAAGCAGGCCTGGTTGAGGTAGTGCTTGCGTTCTTGCTGTAGTGGGGCTCGTGGAGGTACTCGCTGAGGAGGTTCCCGTCAGGATCTGTTGCGAAACTCGATGTGGTAGTTCTGGATCGTGCGATCGAGGATGCAGGCCTGGTTGAGGTAGTGCTTGCGTTCTTGCTGTAGCTGGGCTCGTGAAGGTACTCGCCGAGGGCGTTCCCGTCAGGGTCGGGTGTACGATTTGTGCAGGGCCACCGTAGGTCGGTTGATTCGGTTGTGGTGGGCGGTCTCCTTGTGCCATACTCGGTGCATGTAGTTCTTGAGGATCACCATGTCGTAGAACTGGAATGTTCGTCACCTCGTAGTGGCCGATGTTCGTTCCTGTGTTGGCTGGCATTCCCAGGACATGTAGGGGCACTTCCCCTGCATCCGGCGGTTCAGGTGGAGCGACAGGAGCTTCCGAGGAGTCGCTGTCGGTAGGGTCCTGGTCGTCCCTATTCGAGGTTCTTGGCGGCGTGCCGGCTCGGGAAATTGGTACCCAGAGGCTTAAGGCAGCCAGGCTCAAAAGGCACCTGTGCAAGGGCATGGCTTGAGTTGGCGCGGCACCTAAGTGTCAGCTCGAGCTGTCAGCACTGCGGTACCTCGGTGGCTCTTGCTGCAGAAGCACATGGGCAGGCCAATCAAGCACCACAGTCATGCGATATTGCTGAGTCTGGCAGTGCATGCAGCTCTATGCAATCATGTGTGACAGCAACGGCGGGTAATGTGCCTAGTCAGTTTAGGGTCTGGGGTCACAGGTGAGAAGGGCAGCACTCATGAAAAATGCAAAGTGGAGGTTGTTCATGCCCTCAAGCAGGGCGCTCATGCCCTAATGCGGTCTGGCCCGAGGCGCTGCTTTGCTGTTGGACTGTCCTGGCATTCAGTCATCCGTCCATCACAGCGCGCGCTAGGTGCACCTTCGCCTTCCTTCGGGGGGCTCCCCGGGGGGTGACACGTGTATCTGTACCTCTTCGAGGGCTTAAGCGGGTCGAACTGTTAGGGGCCAAATTAGGGGCTCCCGGGAGCGCAAGTTGGTTTCCTGAAGCCCATTGGGGATCATTTTGCTCTATGAAGTGCTCACTCATGAATTGCCAAAGGGAGCGGTCTGAGGCTGCTATCCACCATTGGCGGCCGGCTGTTGCGCTGATCTTCCTTTCAGGGTCTCTCTGGGGATTATGATGGCCTATATGACGAACCCCCTTAGGAGCTGGGCCTGGCTGGAGGTTCTGTTGGTCTCGCCACCACGTAAGGTCGCGCCATCGCATGAGATGGAAGGTGGGTTGGAAGACAGCTCTTCCAATGTGTCCCCACAGGTTCCACTGCATTTGCAAGGCATGTGTGGACCAGCGGCTGATCTTGCACTGGTGCATCAAAGCTCGCGATCTCTTCTCTCTCTCTCTCTCTCTCTCTCTCTCTCTCTCTCTCTCTCTCTCTCTCTCTCTCTCTCTCTCTCTCTCTCTCTCTCTCTCTCTCTCTGTCTGTCTCTCTCTCTCTCTCTCTCTCTCTCTCTCTCTCTCTCTCTCTCTCTCTCTCTCTCTCTCTCTCTCTCTCTCTCTCTCTCTCTCTCTCTCTCTGTCTGTCTCTGTCTCTCTCTCAGCCGGATGCCGAAGAGGAGACGAAAGGCAAAGTCATGGTGACTTCCCCGGATGGAACAATCGTTACCTGCACGGATAAGCATTCTTTATGTGGACCCTAAATCATTATATTGGCTTCCATTTGGAATTTGGGGGTCGATGTTTCGGTGGCTTCAGTACAGTGGTATATCTTGCACCATATTAACAATCAGAGGTCTTGACACAAGACGCCCTACGGATGAGATTGAAACGATTGCACGAGAAGAAGTCGAAATCAAAGAAGTGTCATGTGGACGACCAGACCCACGAGCAGTTTGCTGCCGGAGGGCCGCAAAGAGAATGGCTGGAGATGGCATTGCTTGAGGCTTTGCAAAGTGTTGGCCCCGAAGCCCTTGCTCGTGGTAAGACAAGCCACATCCAAGTCCTGGCACCTAGCCTGCACGCCAAGCCCTCTCATATTCATGGTTTCCCCTATGAACCGAGTGGGATCGCCGAAACCCTGCTAGTCCTTCAAAGCCCAAGTCTCTCAGATCAGAGAGAGACAACAGCTCAAGGAGACCGAAAGCAATGGGGAATGGTTGACACAGGAAAGGATGGAGAAGTCGGGGGAGTACTCCAAGCTGCTAGCCTTGACTTTTCACATGTTAGCTAGTAAACATTGAAGCCCGAACTCGATCGATGCTCACGCCAAACTAAGAACGACGATGCAGTCGATCATCGACTACTGCCGGAAATTCCCGTCGATATTGATGCGGTCCTGGCCTTACACGGCTTTGTTGGACCAATGTCCGGTTGTTTCTTAGTGTCATGAGTTCTTTATGACAACACTCCCTGATTCAGGAAATAGAAGTACAACGAGAATATTTGGGAATATTTCGTAGAAACCTCAACGAAGCAAACGATCAAACACAGCGAGCTCTTGAAGGAGATCGAATCCCGTGCTCTCGGCGAGGCCTTGCTGCAATCTGTCCTGATCCGTTTGCCTCGGCTGCTAGTCAACCCGTCTGCCCGTCACACAAAGTGCTAACTTGTCCGATCTGATTCCACAAGACTCTTCTTTCCGCCCTGAACAATCCTATGAACCTTAAACCCCTGAACCCTGAACCCTAAACCGATCATATAACTCCATATACCCTAAACCAGAACCATACATCGATACTTGTGCAATGGCAAGGACATGCCAACTCGTTTCACAAAGCCCCCTGAAAAAATATAAACCGCTATACACATGAGTTTCGCCCGTCTTGTATGATTCACGAAAACCCACAAACCCGAAACCCTTGATTCTAGTCCTTGCAACCCTCAGCCCTGAAACTCTGTTGCTCAGGAGCGAGACAGCACGATGCCAGACAACGTGGAGACCCGTGCAATCGTGGACGAGACGGGTGTGAAACCCCAATAAACCGAGACTATCGGAGACAAGGCTTATAGGGAGGGGAGGGGGATGGCAAAGTATATCCGTGTTGTAGCATTCTGAAGCCTGGCCCGCAGACTTTGCCTGACCTCGTGAAGCTGATGGATTCCGTGCACAGCCACATGGCGACGATCTCCAAGCTTCAAAAGCAAATTTCTGATTCCGAAGAACAGGCTGTGTTGCCAACAGCGAAAGAGGAGCCGCCTATAAGTTTCTAGCTGCAGACTGCACTGCCCGCTTCTCAAGACTCTTTATCTAAGTTTGATGAAAGATTTGGACGGCATCGAAAAGGAATGTCAGCACGCCTATACGGAGCTGGCCGGTGTGAAGGCGGAGCTTATGGTTTGCCAGACAGAGGTCTTGGATCCGAAGCTACTCAGACTTCTATAAAAGATGACATCTGAACTCGCGAAACCCGAGGCCCTCAACCATTGCACCCTCAACTTAAAATATGTGCCAAGGCAAGGTCTGCGACCAAGATCGACGCAGCCAAAATCGCCATGAAGAAGCCGCAGCTCGCCTCGATGTTTTCATGTTGGGCATGGTGTTTCAAGCCGGAGCTAAGGTGTGCCGACTTGATTGCAATGGAGTCTCGGGTCAAGTTTCTCGGTGGCTTTGGGCGCTTTTCCGGTTTAATCGTTTCTGATGTAATATACATGCCATAGGTTGAGTTTTCAGGGTCCAAGGTTTCTGGGTTACGGGACTTACAGGGCTGTCGGGTTCTGCAGGTAATAACAAGCTTTGGGTTCGGGCGGGGGGTTTTGTGTAGCATGAGGTTGGTGCTGCTGGAGATGAAAAAGAGCATCAAGAGAGGGGCTGATCACCAGCCGCCGCCACTGCAAAGGCCGAAAGGCAAAGCTCGAGCGAAGAAGTGAAGGTTTTCACACCAACTTTGTACAGCGGTGTGTGATTACCCATGCTGCGCAGCTGCAGAAGATGATATGCTACCGAGCACACTAATTCCGTAGGATGCCGCTGCTGTGTGACAACACAGAGCCCTGATGTGCACGAAAGAAATCCCGACGACCGCTTTGCAAGTGTCTCCCACCGAATCATGCAACCATCCCGAAAGCAAGTGAAATGCCAGGTACTTCAGATGCTGCTGAGCAACTGGCATGGAGCTATGCGAAGGGAGTGGCTTGTGGCACCATGGGCTTTAGGGAAGCTTCAGGCTTTTAGGGTCTCGGTCGAAGGTTCTACCATGGTTTTCAACATAGAGGCTTTGGTGTTGAATTGGGTTTTGGGGTAATATATATAACAGGGTCTACCTAATACGCATCGTCATGTGTCGTGTGCACAGGCTGCAGCTTCAGCCCGTCTCTGTAGTTTTCATTTGAAATCCCCAAACCTATAATCCCCAAAGCCCCAAAACCTAAAATCCCACTGGTACTGGGGGCTCAGCTCAGGTTCCATGTGTTGACATCATCAAGCAAGCGACTACCATCGTGCAGTATGACTTGAGGGATCGCGACGGACAGCAGAATGTACAAATCTGTCCTGTTCTATATGACCTTTACAATGCACCCGAGACGAAGTCTGTGCTTCAGCTTGCAACATAATTGCATTGAACGATTCACACACCTTGGTGTAGCCTTCTATGACAGGTTTTCTTTTATCTTCGGTTCTTAGATTATGTTCGGGTCCCACATCTCAATTCAGGAGTCTGTGGTTGCCCGGTCTTTTGCAAAACACGGCTTACGGCTGGATGTCGAATTATCTTATGCACATGTGGGGAGAGAGCGAGACCATCCATACATCCCTGTGGCTTCCTGGATTCAGGCTTTAGACAAGTCCGGCAGGCTTGGACGGTTGGTGGGCTGCTCCACCAAAGACTTGCCTAAGCACCTTTCTTCTTATTGGTCCATGTACAAGCAGCTGCACCCAGGCCACCAGGTATTCGAACAACAACTTCCTTTGGACCGCTGCCTCCCTGTCTATTTGCACGGGGATGAGGGGACTACAATGAAAAAAGATGGGGCTTTGGTGGTTTCCTTCCAAAGCCCTTTGGGCCGAGGCACTTCGAAAAACAAAGTCGGCAATGTGGTTGGCAACAATGAACAGAAAGTGAACTTCGTTGGACACGCTTTTGAAACACGTTTCTTGATTGTGGCAGGGCTAAAGGAAGATTACCGCAACGATCCAGATGTGTTCCAGCAGCTTTTGGACGTGGCTGTGAGCTCGCTAGACAATGCAAGTCGACGAGGTGTGTTGCTTCAATCAGGCCAGCTGCTATATCCGATCCCCATTGGGCACAAAGGTGATTGGTCCTACTTGGATTCTTGGGAGTTGGCTTGATGGTTTTCTTTCTGGTTTCTATCATAAAGCAGTTGTGTTGAAATCATCGGGGTTTTAGCTTTTTGCATCCCGTCTGAGTCTGAGGCCACCAGTGCAAACCTGACCCGTTCATATAAGAACACTCCGAAGGGAGCCCGTGCTGCAAAGGAGTGTACGGGCATCTGTCATTTGTGTCTGGCGGGACGGCCCCGATACGACTTCGAAGATCTGTGCTTCAGCTTTTCTTTATGATATATTCTTCTGTTCCATCAGTATTCTATACCGAGTCTATACCCCCCATGTAAATCCCCAAACCCGTATCGTCTACACATTATACAGCCCAGGTCTGCCGGAACAGCCTATGCCAATACATTTGGCCAAGAGTTGCCGTGGGACGAGTCGAGGAGCCTTCTTTCACGAGGGTTTTGCTTCACGAGCCAGATTTGAAAGAGACATTTTTCAAACCTGACGTATTTCACACGGTGAGCCTGGGTATCGGCAGAAACTACGCAGCGAGCAGCCTGGCCCACTTGCAAAGATACTGCGATGGCACGTCGATTGATACACGGCTGGCCGAGCTTTCTGCAAATTACGTCGAGTTCTGCAAAGATGCTTGGCTTCATAAACAGGTTCGTTTCATTATGTGCCCAAAACCTTGTTAGCCAGCAGCAACGAGACAATAATCAGCACTCCATCATCAACTACGTATCGCGACTGACACGGGACAACCTGGGATGGAAGAGCCGAGCCCAGGACGCCACGGGGGGGTGGAACAAAGGAGCCCTCACCACAAGCCTCTGCTTGTTCATCGAACACCTGTCCGTTGTCTGGGATTTACAGCACAGCTCTGATGAACGGGATCGGCTCATTGTCCTTTGGCAAAGATTTTTGTTTTTCGGTGTAAACGACCGTTTTGTTTACACAATCTCAAATCAAAACTTGTAAGGCCTCATCGAGTCGAGCACTGAATGCTTGGATGCGGATGTTACATTCTGGGGGTGCTTGGCTCCCACTTGAAGAAGCTACTCCGATCAACCGTGCTGGGCGCCACTTTCTTGATTGCTATCAACGGTTGGCTTTTGTATCGCACCAACAATCCGACCTCAAATTCGGCCTCGTGCCGAAAGTACATATGCTCTGGCATATTATACACACAATCGCACATCAGACTTCTAAAGTCGGCTTTGCAGAGAATCCTCTCATTGAAAGTTGCAGCATCGATGAAGACTTTATTGGCAAGTTTTGCTATTTGACAAGGCAGGTGTCGCCCCGGCTACGAGTCCAACGAGCTTTAGAGAGATATCTCACGTATGTGCTGCTTTTGTGGCGACGAGACAACACGAGCACAGCTTGAAAGATCGAGGGTTTCAATGGGATGGCTGGTGTATTCTCCGGGCTCAAACCTTATAAAACATAAGCCTCAACCCCGAAACCAAACCCGGGAGCCCCAAATCTGCACCCCGCCCAAAGCCCGCCCTAACCAAACAGCCCAGCCCCTCGAGAGTTGCAATCCACGAAGCTTTACAACCAAGAGCCTGCTACAGCTATAGTATGACCGACCCAAAGCGGCAGATCCCATTTTATACGTTCGAACAATTCGGTTCCCGTTTTAGGCGTTGGCGGTCAGTAAAATCCGTTCGGTGCTGGGGATTCCTACATCTTTCCCAAACCAACCATTTATTAACGGCCCCAAGGCTTACCAGGTACATATAAAATACAGAAAGCCAACACGCATATGTATGTATATATATATTGAGATTATACGCGTGTATGTGTGTGTGTATGTGAGAAGAATATTCTGTTGCTCTGCTTCGTAATAATCTTCTGCATCCCACGGCGATCTTCTGCTCACTGCTATAATGGTATTACAATCAGCAGTAGTAGTAGCTGCAGCAGTAGCAATAGCACTAGCAGTGGCAGTGGCAGTGGAAGTCGAAGTTGCGGTAGCAGTAGTCGTAGTGGCAGTAGTGGCAGTAGTGGCAGTAGTGGCAGTAGTGGCAGTAGTGGCAGTAGTGGTAGTAGTAGTAGTGATAGTAGTAGTAATAGTAGTAGTAGTAATAGTAGTAGTAGTAGTAGTAGCAGTAGTAGCAGTAGTAGCAGTAGTAGCAGTAGTAGCAGTAGTAGCAGTAGTAGCAGTAGTAGTAGTAGTAGCAGCAGCAGCAGCAGCAGCAGCGGCAGCAGTAGTAGTAGTAGTAGTAGTAGTAGTAGTAGTAGTAGTAGTAGTAGTAGTGATAGTAGCAGCAAGAAGTAGCAGTAGCAGTGGCAGTACCAGTACTAGCACTAGTACCAGTACTAATGCGAGCACGAGCACTAGTACTAGTACAGTCCTAGTACTAGTAGTACTGCTTTCAGATCTGCACGTGCGAAGGATCTTCGCGGGTTGGGCGGTGTTTAGAAGTTCATGTAGATGCCTCAACTTTCTACAGATATCCCTCCCAAACCACCACCACCACCACCACAACAACCGCTGTCCTCATACTCCTGCTTCTGCTGTTCTAATGACGACCGCGACTACTGCCTGCTTCGACACCCACTCAGTAATGTCACTGCGACGGCCACCGCTGCTGCGCGGGTGCTTAAACCTAGCGCGGCAGCCTCCATGAGGGGTGTCTCCCCGACCAGATCGCAACGACCGGGATCGACGTGCGCCTTCGTGAGGAGATCCTGAGCATGAAATCGAGCAAACAAAGAGCAACACTCGACCCGACTCGCAGAAGTCTCAAGGGTCTGCCTTCAGCTGTCCAACGGTCCCAGAACGGTCCCACGTGACTCGCACCACGCGCCTCGATCAAAACCTGCGCACGCTTCTCGTCCTCTGATCAGTGCTACACATTGAAATTCGCAAGACTGGCAGACACGACTTCGAAAGAGGTCCACAGTGAAACCGGGCTCAAAAGATCTAGAGCTGTGGACTTCTTGCCCTTCAATGTGGACCCGCATCAAATCCCACTCGCGGCTCCAGCAAGAAGTTCCGGACCGCCGACATCAGCGGTGTCTCACCTCAGATGGACGGGAACTTTCGAAGTAGTCCTCTCAGCTGTCACCGAAACCAGAAAAGGCAAAAAGCTCGCCGCGCTGGGGCCTTCGCTCCCTTGGAATTCTGACCATCTCTTGCTGCAGTGTTTTTGTGGGCCCGGGCCCGGGCCCAGGAGAGACGCCGAGAAGAGCGCCCGGCTGCGCTCGGCTCTCCCGTTCGCGCTCCCCGCTCTCCCGCCCGCTTCCGCCCCCGTCCCGAGGTCGGGGCCGAGTGAATTCTGGCGATTCTTTGGGGCAGCGTTCTGAAGGAGGAAGGTCAACATCTCCTGGCAGGCAGTCGGCAGTCGCCTGGCCTCCAAAGACTGCAAAAGCTCACTTGCCTGGTCTGTGGCCTCTGGGGTCGCTTGGAGCGCATGTGCCAACCAATGAAGAGGCCTCAACCGCGAGCCGATACGACTCTCGAGTGATGCTGTTCGGGACCCGGGCGTGTTTCCATCCTCGTCGGCCACATCCTGCCATCCCGACAGCGTTCCGTCTGCGATTCAAGAAGAGCGAGCTCCATTACACACCAGCTACCTCTGCAAATCTGTGCCGGCCTCCAGTGAAATCTGCGACGCTGCTATCAACTTCTTCGCCTTCCCGGCAAGGACAAGGGCTCCAGGAGGGCTGTGCACGTGACGGCTCGGCCTGTGCCAGGCGGCCGTTCAGGACATGGTGCTTCAGCTCGAGGATAGTGCTGCCTCCCGCCATGGACCTGCCAAGCGTCGGGCGCGCAATGCACTGCATGGATTCTCCTTGTCAACTCACAATTTACGGAAGGCCTTCAGCAGCGCAACGCGAAATGCCCCAGATCGTGGCTGTACAGTTGTCTGCAATGAATCAAATTATGCTGCCTGCTAACCTAGATTAGCCGAGTAGCCTGTGTTGGAATGGCAGTTCGCCTGAATGTAGAAGTTGCTACTCACGTGACATTTGATGCAATCGGAGTCCCAAAGAACCATCAATAATCGAAATTTGATATGGCTGACAAGCGCCCATGTGCAACAGCCCTGAAAAGCGTCTTCTCTTCATGCCTCCGGGAAAGGCGGACTTGTGCCGAAAACGGTCAGCCGGAACAGGCAGAAACAAGTGATTCGATGCAGAACAGCGCAGAGAACACAAACGGCGATGGTGTGATGTGCTGCTGGTGGTGTTTGGGGGGGGTCGACGGCGGTGGTCAGTCTGGCGGTGAGTTTGGTGGTGCTGGTGGTGGCGCTGGAAATCATTGGAAATCCCTCGCGCTGGTTGATGACGATGAGGACGCATGGTGATGACGATGACGAGAGTGATGATGGGTATCATAGTATTGATGACGACGAGGCTGAGTCGGTTGAAAAGCGACCATGAAGATGAACAAGAAGGAAGACGGTGCTCATGATCATTGCGCTTTGACTACTGACCACTGACGACGACCGATGACGATGAACATAACACATAGCTCGAAACAATAACAACAGAAATGATAGTGGCGACAGCGACTGAGCAAGAGCGATAGTAGACTTCCGTTCCCGTTAAGAGTCCGAAATTACGGAAACTGCATTCAGAAAGATGTAATGAAGCCTTCAGCAGTACCCTCCAGCAACGGGCGTCGACATGCCAGCAAAAAAGCAATCAGCTACCTTTCAACTGTTCGTCGGGCGGGGGGGGGGGGGAGGGATTGCAGGGCCTCGTCAGAAATCCAAGGAGACCCTTCATCCTGCCGTGTCCTCCATGGTGATGCTCTTGGGATTCAGCGAAAACGTCTTGGTGAGCTGGTGTGCTGGATCCGGAGAGTTGTCCTCCAGGCAGAAGCAAAATGCTCATTGTTCCGACATGATTGTCATGGCTTTGCTACTGCTGCTGCTGCTACTACTGTCTTTCCACGGCTGTCATGTTGGCTACTTGCGTTGTTTCGTCTCTTTCAGTTTGCTGTACTTGCTGCTACTGCTACTGCTGCTGCGGTTGATATCGCTGCAACTGGTGATGATCATATCTGATCATGTCTGTTATCTACTTTGTCCGTGTGCACGCTGTCTGTCAGTAGTGACGCAGCGGCCCTGCCATTCAAGCCCATCCTGTTCAAACCTTGGTTAGATGCTGTCAGCTTCCCGCCTGCAGAGGTTTTGTCGTCGCGCCACTGACACCCCACTTGTCAAGGCCACGAGGCCGGCTGATTACGACTGGCGACTGTTCGGGCTTTCAAGAGCGCATGAGCGATACTTCTGCAGGTAGTTCTGGTGAGGAACGGAAAAAACACTTTGCCAATTAGCCAATTAGAATAGCAAAAACTGCTACCGTCAGTAGATTCATGACTTGCGTCTTTGTGCACATGGTTGCGGACTGCCGTTCTAATCTGTTGCTCTGTCGGCCCTTTAAGATTAGTGACTACTCCCACTCGGTGTTGCCATCAGATGGCATCAGATCATGTGTACCGTGCTCGTTACGCTGAAGCCTTCGCTGCCGCTGGCCCTGTACGTGTTTCAGCGTGCCTATACCCCGTCGAGTGCCCGCATTTGCGGGATCGACCCACTGCGAGGCCAGGAGCCTCTTTGCCCTGCACATATCAGGCCACTGACACTTTTCGGCTCAGGATTGATCGCCGGTTGCTGGTTTGGGTCTGCTGCTCACTGGTTGGCATTGATTTTCGCTTTGCACCCTGTACACTCCTACACGCTTTGTGTGCAAACCAGCGATCTGGTCCACGTGCCGGTGGCAGGAGGCTGAAGGAGGCCAAAGCGATCCGAAGATCACAGCGTCGGGCTTTGCCCGGCCCGAGCAGATCTCAGTCCACGTCGATGGACACTGGCCTCAGCGCAAACTGGAACCTTGGGCTCCTGCCCTGAGGCTCACAGGAGCCGTCAAATGGGGCTGGGGGCTCGGCTTGGGGAGAAAGAAAGTAGGACAGTGTAAGGAAAGCCAGAACCCCATTGGCCACACGCACACGGTCACAAGGCATCTTCCACTGTTGAAAGCGGAGGGGACTCTCAACCTTGGCCTGCTTCTGTTCGACTATTCTTCCGGGATGCTCCGATACCCAGGAGTCCTCCCCGGCATCCTGCGCAGGACATGAAAGCATATCCAGCAGGGGCTGCAAACAGCTAGCTCCTCGGCACCTTCTTCCTTCGGCTTCGGAAAGAAGAGTCGAAGCCTGGGGCGGTAACGGCTCAAGAAACTGCAGTTTGACTCGGGAGGCCCGGAAGACAGCAAGGTCCACAGTACAGAGTCTACGTCTGCGCACAAGCTGTAGGCATTCTCGGCAAACGATGGCAGCTGCTGCCGCGTCTGACTTCTCAGCTCGCGGGCCCTGGTTTGGTTTGGTTTTCCTTGGTCCTTGCCGTCGTGGCCCGAGTGCTGCATGTCCCTCGGCGGTGCGTCTTTCTGCATTTCGACCTGCCTCTTCACCCATCTTAATAAATGCAGGGAAGTACCGAGGCCCCGCAAGCACCAGGACCAGGATTAGCCAGCTTTGCCATCCCAACTAACAAATCCGATGGCAGCAAAGCGGCTGACGAGGATCCTCGATGCTTCCAGCCGACTCTTGCGGCTGATCTTCACCAGGCGGTGGATTGCCTGCGAAGCGGCGAAGCGTTAACCGTTGTCCATTGGGAAACATCGTCGGGTGTAGCCCAGCTCATGCCCTCGGCAAGAGGAAGAAGATGCGAATCTCCGAGTTTCCAAAGAAGCTCACCTTCTGAAGCACTCGATGTGATCCGGGATCCGGGAGCCTGCCGACTCTCCAGTCTCGACGGGTCGCGTCTTCGAGAAAGTCCCCTGCGAGCACTGCAGGTCGAGAACGCCTAACTTCTCTGAGTTGAGACACTGTCAAGAGACACCCCTTCCCATGCCTTCGAGCCCACATTCTCAGCGCCGATTTTGGATGCCTGCCAGGAGGCCGCGCAAAATACACAAGCTGCAACAGCACGGCTGTGATTCGGCTCCAGGAAACGACAGGGGCGGAGTGGGATTTGCGAAGACAGAGATCATCTGCCCTTCCACCTACTGGCGCACACAGACAAAACGAACGAATGGACAAACAAGACAAAGCAAGCGCATGAACATGCACGCGCGCACACGAGCAAACACACACACACATATATATATATATATATATATATATATATATATACACTATATGTATGTATGTATGTATGTATGTATATATATATATACATATATATATATAGAGTATGTTATTTGGTATTTCTTTCTGCCGAGGCGTTGCTGCTGTGCCTCAGCTTCACCGGACCAGGAGTGTCACTTTGTTTTCAGTTTTGGTGGGATAGTAATCAATTTCCTGTGTGTGTGTCTGTCTGTGTGTGTGTATTGATCATGGCTTCCTCTCAGCCCATCGTCAGCTGGAGGCTCCAGGGGATGGCTGGAAAGCACCGCACACGATTCGGAGGGACTTGGCCCGCCCAACCACCAATCTGTTTTTTTTGTGGTCGGCTTTGGGGTACTCCTGACTGTGGCACCGAACTACACAGGGGGAGCCGCGTTTCCGAGTTGTCACCCCTTCCCCGAACACTAAACAAGCGCACAACTCCCGCCTCGTCTCCACGCCCCTATGGCTAACTGCGTTTGACTGGGTTCAACTCGGGTACTAAGCGGTCAATCCCCCCATGCATTGGAGAGGCTCCAACTAGGACCAACTGATGCCAACAATGCCAAATTGATGCCCATTCATGGTGTGCCCACTCCTCATCCACTAGCTGGCACGACTGCCCCAAGCGCAATGAGGATGGAGACAGCAAGTAAGTTTACACGGGCTCCCCAAAGGGATCTTCGTTGACCACCGCCACCCAGAGGGCCCGGTGGCCCCTGCTTCTTGCATATGTAGTCAGGACAGGTATGGACGCGGGCTTTCACACACACACACACACACCCACCAGGTTTAAGTTCATGTCTTCGTCCATTGTTCTCCTATAGTTAATGTTTTCCACTCACCGAAGTGTTCATTACTGGATGTGTGAAGACCGTCATCGATGGAGGCGATTGAGTAGTGAACGGCCCCTGATGGAGTCAGCATGCCTATCCGAAGATATTTTACCAGAAATGGTTTCCACAGTTGATGCAACACAACAGCGAATTCTAAAACATGCTCACGGCATACAGTCACAGCAAGCGCTCATGCTTCTTGCATTCGACACAGTCGTCGCGCAGGAAGTGCGAACACCACACTGTCGTGGATAAGGAATGTACTCCGAGGTTGAATGCTAGCACCAGCAGCGACTGTGAAACATGTAAAGGAAAGATGTCGGTGTCGTCAAAAAGATCACTGCAGATACACACTTGTGTTTAGGCGCTTCCCTCCCTGCTTCTTCGCACATGCCGTGCCTCCTTGATGTTAAACAAGTCTAAACCACCGGTGCCGCTGGTTCGCAACACACACACACACACGCGAGAAACAGAGAGTATCACAGCGCACTGGTCTAAGCGCATGCAACTGCTTCTTAGACTGCGCCTGCCCATCAACCATGACACCTACGTCGTGCTGCTTTCGTTCCAGCATCTGGTATACGCTTTCCTGTGCTGCTTCGCGGGCAAACTGTTTCCAGACTCAAGATCGGAAGATCTGGCAGGGAACGGCTTGCAACCTAGAAACATCCAGGGTGTCTTTGGCTATCAGGTAGTGGACATTCACGGACTCTTGCTGGCCCATTCCTCGGCGGCTCCACTGAATGGACCAAGAACCCTGCAATGCGACCAAAGGCAAGCGTCGATGGGCTCGGTCCTCAGCCTCCGTGGTACGAGCGCAGCTGCAACGTAGGAAAGAGGGGCATGTGATAGCTGTCTTTGTTTCGGGCTCAGCTTAGCTCAGCTTTCATGGATCGTTCATGCTTCGGGCAAAGAAGGCGACGCCAGTCCTGAAGCAGCGTCCCTGGGGTCCAGTGCAGCTCCGCAAAGACCACCGTCGAGCAAACCTGGACGTTGCACGATACAGCCCTACCCCTCCCCACAAGTCGGAAACCCGGTACTTCAGAAAAAGCAGTGCTCGTTGTGTCTAAACTCATATCGGATCATATCACTATAGATAGAGATAGAGTGTCTCCAACGAATTCGAATTCGGATTAGGCTCCTGTCACTGCGCACAAGGGAAGGTCGTGCCTGCAGGTTGAGGCCTTGTCCGCATGCAGTGATCGACAGCAATGCCACCTGGAGAGACGAGTCCCCCCCCCTCCCGAACCCCCCCCCCCCCGCGCAAAACTCCGTTCCCTATCGCCGAGACATCGGCTTGCTTGGCCGGATTCGAGCGAAACTCGTTCACCAACCTTGATGCTGAGATATGCTGAGGAGCACATGATCATCAGCCAACCATAGGTGGCTCATGAAGCCACAAGCGCGGCGAGCTTTTCTCTCCAAGGCACTGTTCTCTCTGATGCGAAGGGGTCTTGCCATCGATACCTTTGCTGGTCTCAAAGCAGTCGGAGACGTTCCGAGTGCAACGCGCTCTTGTAAAGATTCCACTCATTAAGCTCCTGGCCAGCCAAACAACACAGCGAAAGCTCTTGGAAAGCTTACGGCATGATGGCTTTCTGCCCATACCTGCATGATAATTTCTTTATGATTCGTAGCCGGCTGCCCCCAATAGAGTAGAGAATAACATACCGTAGATGATCAGTAGAATAAAAACTCAATATAGGAGAGTAGACAGAAGGGAACTGGGTAGACGATATGTTCAACTGTTCAGCAATCGGGCTGGATGTGCTAAGTCGGAACAAGAAGTCCAGCGACATAACAGTATCACATGGTAATACGTAACATAACAGGACATCGCACAACAGTGACATCACACAAAGCAGTGGGAGCATGTAAGACAAGCTAAAACTAGTTGTGATAAGAGCAAACAAGAAAAGATAATATCCACAAAGATCCTGTAAGAACAGATACCAAAATAGGATGTTACACTGCTTTACATTGACTCCACATGGTACAAACGTATATATTGTCTGCATGCATGCATAGATGTTTGCACCAATGTATAACACATAAGTAGGATGTACATGTACCTGTGTGATTCTATACACATACACACATAATATATATATATATATATATATCTATTTATTTATTTCTCAGTACGGACTCACCATCTTTTTACACACCCGGAGAAGCTGGGAGTGCTCAAAGTTGGTGGTGTGCCTAGTTGCACACAAAAGGCTGGGTCGTAACCCAAAAGTACTGTACATGCCTCAGAAAACCTCGCCCGTAGGCGGACTCTCCCGAAGGAGGTGTTGGGCGCCCACTTTCACGGGAGGAGGCGGGGACGAGGAGGCGAGCCGAAAAGCATCTCAGGATCGCCACTGAGAAAGGCGCGTGCATCTTCACTCCCCCCGGCCCCCGCGACCTTTTCCGTGACCCTTCCCGTCGCCCCCCTTCGGGTTCCCCTTGTCGGCCTTGCCCTCGGTCTTGCCCTGCCCCTTGCCTTCCTCATCCTCAGCTCGCTGGCCCACTCTTTGGAAGCTAGGACTGCTTCCTCCCGTTCCAACAGGGAGGGTCCTCCGGCTCCAGCAGCTCTATGAACTGAGCTCTGTTCCAAGTTGTGTCGCTGGCTCAGTTCCAGCGCCTTCAAGCGCTGCGCTAGCAGATCGGCCGCGGAGTGGGACCGACCTGCTGCGATCTGGTCGAGAGCCGCCGCCAGCGTCTTCATCTCGCGCAGCGTCCTTACCGGAAGCTGCTTTGGCCCCAAGATCGTCAGGACGAAGTTCATGGCCATGGGTGGTGTCTTGTTCCCGTAGGTCACCTGCGAGATCGGCCCTCCCTCCTTCCCCACCATGCTCTGCATGCGTTGCAGCAACCTGGCGGCCAACCTCCCCGGCTTCTTCAGAGCGTACTCCTGAAGCTGGAGCTGGAGGCTGGTTCCATTCCCGGAAGGAGGGCCGTCTCGAAAAAGCTGGTCCTCCCGGAACCAAAAGGCCCCCGATCCTTAGCCGATCGGGCCTTTTCCTTCTTCTTGGACTTCTTCTTCTTCTTGCGGGCCTTGTCCTGGGCGGTGTCGGTGGAGGATCTCTCGGACGTATCCGTATATGAGCGGTCCTGGGGGCTATCGCGTACCGGCTCCCCGGAACCACTCATTCTTGGCGCTGCCGCGGGCTGGCTGTGACCTCGCACGGCCGTGGCCGGGATCACTTTTTCTCCTTTTCTTCTTTCTGCGGCGCTCCTTCTCTTGCTCCCTCGTGAGGGGTCTTTCTGCTCCCTCGTGAGGGGCGTTCTGAGCCCGCTTCTTTCTAGTCCTCCTCGGCGTGCCGATCTCTTTCTCCAAGTCGGCCAAGCCCTTCAGCGCGGAGTCGTCCTGTGAGCCCTCCGGTGGCGGGAGAGCTGCCTCCTTGAACTCGAGGCCAGGACCAGGGTCCCCAGAGCCTCGGCCGTGGCCGCCTCCCGCTGGTGCTTGCAGTCGTTGCACCTCTTCCTCCACATACTTCTTCGACTTGCTTTTGCGAATCCACTCTGGCTTTCGGTCCGCCAAGTCGCCGAGGGTGAGCTGCCGGAAGCGGTCGGTGTGGAAGTCGTGGGACCGGCCCCGCTTTGTCATCCGGCAGCTCCTAGCAGTCTGCTTGCACACGTGCAACTCGAACTGCCAGTTGTCATCCTTCCCCGGGCCCTTCTCGAGCCACCATTCCAAGTGCTCGTCGGAGACCGCCAGGAAGGTGACCTCGGTCCACTGACCGTTTTGGCCTTTTTCGGCCACATTGTCCACACGAGCCACCACCGTTCCTTGCTTGGTGTGGCTCGTATCATAGGCCGCGAACTCCAGGTAGTCGCCGGCCTTCAAAGTGGTGGAAGCCCATGCCTCCGCATCGCTAGAGGCCGAAATCCACGGCCCGGGCATGGCTCGAGCTGGGAGCTCGAGCCGAAAAGCATCTCAGGATCGCCACTGAGAAAGGCGCGTGCATCTTCACTCCGCGCTGCTACGTTACATCGCACTGAGGGTAATATATATATATATATATATATATATATATATATACATACCAATGTATATATATATATATATATATATATATATTAATATACATACACACACACACACACACACACACACACACACACACCCCGACACACACTAGCTTTTTTGAGTCCCGTCGCACCATAAGGTCTTCGAAAGCCCAGGTGCGGATGAATCCTGCTTTCAACTTCTCGAGCTTCTGCTGTAAAGTGTCCATCACCTCGAGGTGGCGAGGGAACGCGAATGGATACAAAGAAGTTGAGGCGGAAAGCAGGAATCGAAAACAGCAAAATCGGGCGACCGGCAGTCGGTGTACCCGGTAGACAACCCAAGGCGTGTGAAATGCAGGAGGAACCGTGCCCCTACTTGGAAGATTCCGCCCCATGCCCCGGGCTGAGTCCAACAACCCTTGCAATTTCGGGGCTCGCAACCGCAAGAGTGCTTCGGTCTTAGGTCTTCGTCCCCGTCCGAGCCACTGCGTGGTGATGTGCAAAAAGCAGGAACCGGCACTCAGCCTCCACCAAGTACTGCACCTCGGGTCAGACATGGGCGCCGTACAGAAAGCAGCGGTTGCAGGATCCAAGGGACATATTCTGCGACTGCATCCACTTTGGCGAGGCCGGTGAGCCTCATTGGAGCCCAGCGATTCGAGAATTTTACTTGGCCATATTGAGGACGTAGGACTTTTGTGACTATAGACATGGACAGCCCAAAACCATCGGCCTGAAAAGCTCCGTAGCAGCGGCACCACTCTTGCCGCCCTGCCACTGGAACAAAGGCGAAAGCAGCGGTGCCGAAACTTTTGACATCCCACAGAATACGAGTGGCTGTGCTGGAGGGGCTTGGATTTGTACGGCCAAGCACCAATCACTGCAACCCTCAACACTGAGCCCTGTCACCCCGTCAGGTGTTCTACTTTCCGATGTGTGGCAGACATGGCCAGAAGCCTGGAGATCTCCTTCTTCACGCTGACCTGATTGTTGTCGGAAGTGGAGAGGTGGCTGCCTACCGTTAGCCGAATTGTCAGGGTCAAGGTCGGGAGCCTTCCGAATCTCTGTCGAGCCACACCCGAAGGCACTCATCTTCTCCCGAAGCTCTTTCAGCACACCTGCGCTGAACTTTGCCACTACAAGAGACCAAGATGCGTGTCCCTATTTGGAATAAACTCCGTGGCCCATCGGAAAAGGCAAAACTTTGGGAGATTCGACTGAAAGGTAGACGGATGTGGACAGGGCTCCACGCTCCAAGTACCATGTCAGTGGCCCTGAAGCAAAGTGGACGGTTGCCTTGCTCGTTGCTCAGCCTGTCCTGAGATACCCGTGTCAGATCGCGTGACATCAGCCCAGCCAAGACTGGATGAGGCTTCGGAGGGGACGAGCAGGCAAGCGTCGGGTATGATTGCACACCTGCGCACTGACCTGACTGCCAGCCCGACCCCTAACGTGTGCCTTGGCGATTCCGCTGAAAAGAGCTGAACCCAGCAGACTTACCCGAACACCACAGTGGATGCGATGCTGCCGGGCGGCCAGCACCACGCGCTGCCGGCGCTTCGCCGGGAGCTGGCTGAGCACCTCCTGGCAGTGAAAACAAAGCCACGACGCTTTCCAAAGCGCCCCTCCCTGTTCAAAGGGGCGGGACTTTTTTCACACCCCGACAAGGCTCGTCATGCTCACTTTCTCGCTTGGGGTCTTTTTTCTCGCCCTGTTCAGATCCTCAGGGTCTGGGATCTATAGGGCAGAAGGAACAAAAAGATTTAAGGAGGCAAAAAACAACCTAACCGGCCATACAGGTCTTTTCACGCCCAGGGTGTGGGGTTTTATATACGGCCGAAGGAAGACGAGAAACTTTAAGGAGACAAAATAACAACCTAATCGGCCGTACGAGATTTTTTGGCGCCCTGGGCTGTGGGGCTTAAAGCCGAAAGAACAAAAGAATAAAGGGACATGGGACATGAAACAGAGAGGCAAAGAGACAGAGAGACAGAAGTAACTGGAAAGAAAGAGAGTGTGACCGAGGGAAAGACAGAGCGAGAGGGAGAGATAGAGATAGAGAGAGAGAAGAAAGAGAGAGAGAGAGAGAGAGAGAGAGAGTCAGAGAGACAGAGAGAGAGAGAGAGAGATATATATAGAGAGAGGGAGATAGAGAGAGAGAGAGAGAAAACAAAAAGACATCTAGAGACGGAGAGAAACCAAGCGGGACGAGGGAAATCAAAGATGAGAGAAAGAAGAGAGATCGAAAAATTAGAAAACTTGAGAACACAAGGAGCAAACCGCTCGAACGACACTACAGAACTTGAGAAGGAGCGAATGCAGCGAAAGAGAGTAGAGAAGTTAAGAACAAGGCGCAATCCAAAGGGACTAGAGTATTTCAGAACAAGGTGCGCTCGAAAAAGACTGGGGAAATTGAGAACGAGGGCCAAACCGTTCGAAAGGGCCTGGAGAACTTGAGCAAGAGCAGCAAACCGATCGAAAAAAACTAAAGAATGAGACAACAAGGAGCACACCAAGCGAAAGGGACTAAAGCATTTGAGAACAAGGAGCAAAAAGCTCGAAAAAGACGAAGACAAAGAGCAAACTGCTAGAGAACTTGAGAACAGGAGCAAACCGCTCGAAAGGGACTAGAGATTTTGAGAACAAGAAGAAAGAGACTTAGAGAATTTAATAACAAGGGGCACACCGCTCGAAAGAGAATAGAAATCTTGAGACGAAGGAGCAAGCCGCTCGAAAAGGACAGAAAACAACCGCTCGAAAAAGACGAGAGAATTTGAGAACGAGGATCGAGCGGGCTCGATAGAGGCTAGAGCATTCCAGAACAAGGAGCCAAGCGCTCGAAAGAAACTATTTGAAAACAAGAGACTCGAGTATCTTGAAACAATTGAGCAAACTGCTCGAAGGGGACAGAAAAAGCAACAAACCGCTTGAAAAAGATTCGAGCAGTTGAGAACAGGGAGAAAACCTCCCAAAGAGACTCAAGAAACCAACAACAAGTAGCAAACCGCTGGAAAGAGACTAGGGAATTGAGAACAACGAGCAACCGCTCCAAACGTACTAGAGAATTTAAGAACAAGGGGCAAGCCGCTGGAAAACAGTTGAGGATTTCAGAACAGGAGCAAGCCGCTCGAAAACGAGCTCAGAATTGAATAAGAAGTGAATGAGTGAGTGAGTGAGTGAGTGAGTGAGTGACGACTAGCGCATACGGCGCAGCCTACCTCCCACGTCCCTCTCAACATCTCGGGGGGGCTCCGAAAACGTCATAGCCCCCCTCCGTCACAGAGTTCAAGTGGGGGAAAATTAGTTAATGCAGACAAGTCACAACTGCCAAATACCGTTAGGCTTAACTGTTGAATCAGATACCCGTCTTGCAAGAAAAAACCTGGAGGAATCACAACACAAGCGAGCTGTACATGCATGCGGTAAGCGTAGAGTGCCACCCACATGCCCCGGACGCCCTCACACCCCTGACCCTATACATGGTGTCCAACTTGCCCATAAAGTTACAAAGCATGGAGCAGGTATGACAGCACACCCCCTCCACCCAACGCCATGCACGGCGCCCCAGTACCGCTTTGGCAAAAAATACTGTGGCTCGACGGTCCCTACGACACGATTGGCTCAGCAAATCAGTCAGTTAGAAGTAGTAAGTCGCATTGATCGCCGTCCCAGAGTGCGGCACCATGCACCTGTGCAGAACAAGGAACACTGACTGTAACGAAGTGAGAGGAAAGGAGTGAGGGGCCGTGAATGATGAATGAGTTGGGTTGGAACCATTAGTAGCTGTAGGAGATTGTAGGAGTATCCGATCCAGCCATCAACAGCCTCCTGGAATACCAGCAGGCAACAGAATCGGAATCCATCCGGTAGTAACAAACACGAATGTAACGGGGCGCAGCAGTGCGGCCAGTGCCGAGGGAGCTAAGCTCCAGCACCGAGGGCACGCACGAGGGCGACCCAAAGGCGCGCGCCATGTGCGGAGGGAACCGAGTTCCAGCACCGAGGGCGAACACGCCACCACCCAAATACCAGGAGGGAAGTTCTGAAGTAAACAAGGCTGCTGCCGTGATGAACGGCTACTGTACTTGCCCAGCATGTCCAAACGAGGTTGCAGTGCTAGCGGCGGATGTGGCTGAATACCCATACGAACTCTCCACCACACATGTCGCCCCAAATGTACAAACGAGCGGTTGATACCTGAAGTAGTTGTGGACAAGCTCACATGAATACCTTGGACGCAACGTGAGCAACCAGTCCGGCGTCTTCATGTACGGAACAAAATATCAGACAGTAAGAAAAGGGGAAAGTAACAATGCCCGCCGCCCAGAGTGCTATCATGTCAAGAATAAACCAGCATGGAGCCGGCAACCAACACAATGTCATGGTCCATGGAAGGCATACAGTGTCAGTCATATGTTTGAGCCCTCCAGCAAGCATCGGCACTGTCGCCCTAGCAGGGGGCCGGGGAGGGTGGGGGGTGCTCGTCGGGAACCGATCCCTTAGTGCCGCCCCCGGGGTCCACACCCACCCTTGAAATCCCTCAGCCCTGCAACTGCTAGGCCCGGGGGAATTGAATAAGAAAGAGCAAGCCGCTCGAAAGCGACAACACAAACTAAGAACAAGGAGCAAACCAAGTGAAAGAAACTCGAAAGTTTGGGAAACCAAAAAACAAAGCGCTTGAAAAAAGAAAGAAAATTGCGAACACAAAGACCACCCCGCTTCACATGGAGGAAACGGCTCCTGAACGACTCGAGGATTTGAGAACAAGGAGCAAACCGCTCGAAAAAGGCTGCAGGCTCTGAGAACAAAGAGCAAAACGAATCGAAAACGACCTTCAATCTTGACAACACAACCAGAAAACCGCTCGAGAAGGACTAAAGGTCTCGAGAAAGCAGCTAACCGCTCGAAAGAGACACGAGAATTTGAGGACACGGAGCAAACTGCTCGAAAGGGACTAGAGAACCCGGAGCAAACAGCAAGAAAAGCACTAGACTAGAGAACTTGAGCCGCAGGAGCAAACCGCTCCGAACCGAGTAGAGAATTTGAAAACGTAGCAAACGGCTCGAAATGGGCTGCAAAAATTGAGCAAAAGGAGCAAAGCCGCCCGAAATGGATTAGAGAAATCGAGAAAAGGAGCTAACCACTCGAAGCAGACCGGGGAGTTTCAGAACAAAGAGCAAAACAAACGAAAGAGATTAGCAATTAGCGAACAAAGGACACACCACTCGAAACAGACTAGAAACTTATGAACATTAGGAGCAAACCGCTCGACGAGAGAGAGAATTTGAGATCAAGGTGCACACCGCTCGAAGAAGACTAGTGAATCTAAGAAGGAAGAGTAAACCTTTCGAAAGAAACTAGACAACGCAAGAACAAGGAGCAAAGCACTCGACAGAGACTAAACACTTGGCGAAGAAGGAGCAAACGGCTCGAACAGGACAAAGAGTTTGAGAACAAGGAGAAAACCGCTCGAAAGCGACTCGGCAAGTCGAGGACCAGGAGCAAACCGCGCGAAACAGACGAGAGAATTTCAGAACAAGAAGCAAACCGCTCGAAGGGGACTAGAAAAACTTGAGAACACAAGCAGCAAACCGTTCGAAAGAGACTCGGGGATTTGAGCAAAAAGAGCAGCCGCTCGAAAACGACTAGAGAGTTTGAAAACAAGGACCAAGCCAAGCGAAAGAGAGTAGAGACTTTGAGCAAAAGAAGCAAACCGTTGAAAACGACTAGGAGAATTGAGAACAACCAGCAAACCTCTCCAAACAGACCATAGACTTTCGAAAGAATATGTAAGTAAGGTTTAAAACATGGAGCAAACCGCTCGAAGGAGACTTGAGATTTTGAGACAGAGAAGCAAACCGCTCGAAAGGTACAGAAAACGGAGCGAACCACTCGAAAGACTCTAGAGAAAGTGAGCACAAGAAGGAAACCGCTCGAAAGAGACTAGAGAGCCGGTGAAGGGCAGAAAGCCCGCAACGGACAGGGGGCCCATGAAGGGGCGAAAGCCCGCGAAGGGCAGGGAGATTAGGGCGGGAAGCCTGCGAAGAGCAAAGGCCAGGAAGAGCGCGAAAAACAGAACGCCTGCGAATACCAGGGAGCCAGCGAAGGGTGACAGTGATCGAAACCTGCATAAACCTGCAAATTCGAAGGGCACTGCTTGGAAGAAAAACAAACAACAGAAAGAACACATAAGGCAGAACCCAGGCGATACCGACACGTCTGGATGAAGCCTTGTTAAGAAACAACAAAACCTTGTGTGGCCTGTCAAAGTGTGTTCTGCCTTCCTCGAGGCTTCATTTGTTCCTTTTGCCTCGGGGGCCATTTGAAGCCACCCAGGCAGAGAAAAAGCCTTTCCGACAGTACACAAAAAAACCCTGTGGTGACCCAAAAAACACCAGCCCCTTTTCAAAGCTCTTCTCCGCCCAGTCTTTTCCCCTCGCTTCGTCCATGGGCCCGGTTGACTCCAGTATCTCGTAGGCAAAACCAACGACCCTGCACAATTGACAACTGGGATCCCAGAATGTCGCTGTTTCTGGGCCAGGATATGGTTTCACCTCAGCCCCGAAGCAGCATGGGGTAGCCGGTTCCCATGATGATGTTCCGTTCCCTGGATTTTGGGGTTTGGGGGTGAAAACGGAGAAGTTGTCGGACGGGAGCAAATGCTGTGAGCCTAACGAATTGCACTGGGGCTATTGCTGCTCCTGCTCCTAGACCCCTGTGCCTGCTGCTGCCATCTTGCAGCCTTTGTAGCTTCTGCGTTACGTGTCCACCCACCAACCCAATCCGACGCATGAGCGCGCGCACACCATGACTCTGGAAACTTCAACGTCAATGGCATTTACTCACGGTCACCCTCAAGCTGCCTTCTTGAAGCGTCGGACCATGACAGCATCGAGGACTGCATAGAGCTCCTCAGACACCGATCCAAGGTGCGACCATACCGAACCCGGTCCACAAAGGTGTTGCGTTTGACACAGCACGAACGCGGTGACCAAGCCAAGCCAAGAGGCATCTCCCAAGCGACAGCCCTCCTTGCCATGGAGGACGCAGATTCAAGAAATCAAAACTCAACCCTGAGTCGTTGAAACCCAAAGCTTCCGCTGTGCCCCGGTTGTCAGCAGTGGCATGCAGCTGGTGTCTACGCGACCAGCATCAGCTGACTTCGCTGTAACCGTATAGGACCTAGGCTAGACAGACCTGTCTTGCATCATGTGACGTCCTAATCACATTCCAGACCCAAGCCGCGCTAGCTTTGTGCCTGGAGAACCCTGAAGCCAGCATGGGCAAAGCTATGAACGGCAAGCATCCCACTGCTTCACATGCCGCTTGCCAAGCCGCAGCGTCTTCTCATTGCCTAGAGCTGGGATCATGCAGCATGAGGGCTGCGGGGACATGGCTCTGCTACTTGCCAAGTCACAATACCTTTTGCAGAACTCGTTGTGACTCGGCAGCACGCCCGGCAGCAGGCCTTCCAAGTGGCCGTTCCCCGCTGTTTCGATTGCACTGCTGCCCGAGCTCACGGCTCTTATGCCATGTCATGCAGGCAAAGTCACGGGAGGCAAGGACTGAGCAATGACAAGGACTGCAGCGTCTTGTTACCCGCTGCGTGAATAAAGGCTAACTCTCAAAAGGGGGGTGCGATCACCAAGCAGATGCTTGAAAGGGAAAGACAGCCTGAAGAGTCTGAGTCCGGGGCAGTCCAACAGCGGGTAGAGCTCTGAGGCCTCGTGGCAGTTCCCGAAGTCATGCAACCCATGAAGTCTGATGCGTCGCCCGCTCGGCGAACCTTCGCCAGGGCAGGCGTTCCCGTGAGGAGGGCGCATCGCCGAGTCTCCTGGAGGATCGGGCGAAGCGCCTGGCGAACTTCCTAATGTTGGATTGATATTAATAAACCCCTCCCCCCCCCCCCTGAGGTTGTTTTGCGCGGGCGTCTCTTGGGGCAGGGTCTGGGGTCCGGGTCGCAATAGTAAACCTCTGGCCTGCTCCGGGCCTAGTATACTAGTAGTAATAGTAGTAGTAATAATAGTAGTCATAGTTGTAATAGTAGTAATAGTAGTACTAGTACTAATAGTAGTAGTAGTAGTAGTAGTAGTAGTAGTAGTAGTAGTAGTAGTAGTAGTAGTAGTAGTAGTAGTAGTAGTAGTAGTAGTAGTAATAGTAGTAATTAATAGTAGTAATTAATAGTAGTAATTAATAGTAGTAATTAATAGTAGTAATAGTAATAATAGTAGTAATAGTAGTAATAGTAGTAATAGTAGTAATAGTAGTAGTACGTGAAGTCTCAACCTGTGGCATTCGCGGCACTCTGGCTTCTGTGCCCTCGCCCCTTCTGCTTTCCTTCTGAACTCCCTCTGACGCCACTGGACTGAAGCAAGGAGTCTGCCCGGCTCAAGTTTAGCTGCTGCAGTTCCTGGAATCCGGAGTCCCTGGCTTCTTGCCAAAGTTGCCAGAAGAAGGGCTGCAAAGGGTTACCCTTGCCGGGTTTGTGAAATGGCTCCGTTTATTTAGAACTGGAATAAGGAACCGACCTCAAGTTTAGCTGCTGCAGTTCCTGGAATCCGGAGTCCCTGGCTTCTTGCCAAAGCCTGCAGCTTTCGAATACCAAAGCCTCTGGCTTCTTGTCCAAAGCCACTGGCTTCATAGCTTTCCCAAAAGCAAGGCTTCCCATCGGGAGCCCCTCCCCCGGATGAGTTTATTATTGCCACCCCGTTTATAATTGCCAGAAGAAGGGCTGCAAAGGGTTACCCTTGCCGGCTTTGTGAAATGGCTCCGTTTATATAGAATTGGAATAAGGAACCGACCTCAAGTTTAGCTGCTGCAGTTCCTGGAATCCGGAGTCCCTGGCTTCTTGCCAAAGCCTGCAGCTTTCGAATACCAAAGCCTCTGGCTTCTTGTCCAAAGCCACTGGCTTCATAGCTTTCCCAAAAGCAAGGCTTCCCATGGGGAGCCCCTCCCCCGGATGAGTTTATTATTGCCACCCCGTTTATAATTGCCAGAAGAAGGGCTGCAAAGGGTTACCCTTGCCGGGTTTGTGAAATGGCTCCGTTTATATAGAATTGGAATAAGGAACCGACCTCAAGTTTAGCGGCTGCAGTTCCTGGAATCCGGAGTCCCTGGCTTCTTGCCAATGCCTGCAGCTTTCGAATACCAAAGCCTCTGGCTTCTTGTCCAAAGCCACTGGCTTCATAGCTTTCCCAAAAGCAAGGCTTCCCATCGGGAGCCCCTCCCCCGGAGGAGTTCATTATTGCCACCCCGTTTATAATTGCCAGAAGAAGGGCTGCAAAGGGTTACCCTTGCCGGCTTTGTGAAATGGCTCCGTTTATATAGAATTGGAATAGGGAACCGGTGTCCCTGCGAAGCTGCAGCGGTATCTGCTGAACAGACTGCGTCTGGAGCTGGGTCTGCCACCTAAGGCAGCCTGAGTTCTTCTGTTTCACAGCTCTCTGGATGCCATTGGATCTGCCGAGGGGTGGAGTGAAACAGTCTGGAACTGCACTCTGCGAGCTAGTACTTCAGTGTCGTCTGTGCCGATCTGCATTCTGCTGGCTGGTTTTCCTCTGAGTTTGAGCATTTGCCAATTGATTAATTACTCAACCTGGATCCTAATTTTTTGGTGATTTGGGGCCCTGAATATTTTAATTGTCACCCCTTTTATAAATGTAACCTCCCATCTATGATAAGTTGTTTGGGGCATTTGGGCTCCGCCCTTTAAACTCCTCTTCCGTCCGGAAATTCTGGCCCAGGAAATATTTTAATTATCACCCGGTTTAATAAATTCAATTCAACATTATCCACGATGGTCGACACTATGGAGGCCCTCCACTGTGGATGTCGCAAGTGCGCAGTGCATTGCATAAAGAGGCATAAGATAGGATCAGAAGAAACTTGTGTTTCTTAAGAACCCGCCTCCCGAATTTCTGGACACAAAATTTGAGCGGCGTGCTCAAGTGCGAGGCTGTGCTCTCGGCCCCCTCGGAGTCCCCGCCTTGGATCGCTGAGACGATGGCGTCTTGAGGAAGTGAGCCTCAGACGCCGAGATCAGAGCTGATTATTTCTAGTCAGACAGGAATTTCCCCTTTTGGTGCAGGGTGGCTTCGTCACAAATGACCACGCGGTACTTCTTGCCGTGGGCCGACTGCTGAAAGGCTTCCTGCTCGCATTGCGACGTCATCCCAAAAGGGCGCCCAAGGCCAGCGAATCTGAGGAGCGAACTCAAGCAAACTGACATTTTTCAGCTCAGATCTGCTTGGCGAGGACAGGACGAAAAGATTGTCCCTTTAGATGTGCCGTATCCCCTGGCCCCTAACTGCAGCGAATCAACTGCAGCCTGCGGACGACCGGGAGAGAAACATGCAAAAACAACTTTGTGCTCTGCAGCAGCTCCTGCTGAGCTATCAGGTCGTAGCTGACAATCACCACGCGTGCCTGGCAGGCATTGGCACCCGGACGGAACGGAAGTACTTGAACATCCCTGGCGGTAACAAGCATTCTGCCCCCAAAGAGTGCCAGAGCAGGACTATGCCACTCTCTGCCCCCACAGCGGGTGCGCGCCGCTGAACGTGACAAGCCCAATGGCAGCATCTGCACTTCTCCGGTGCCTCGCGGCGAAGCTTGTCTGAGCCCTGCAGGCAGAGCGAATCTTCGGGCTGATGTGAACCAGTCCCTTCAAGTCCGGTAGATGGAAGTAGATACCCGGTATAATGGGTAGCGGCTTTACACCAACCCGGCCGGTGCCTTCAGCACCACTTGGATGTGACGATCCTGGCTTGGGACTCACGCTGAGATGCTTTCTAAAGTCGAGCAGAGATCGCATCGTTGATCCCTCTATCCAAAAACCAAGTGAAAAAGATGAATGTTGTAGCTTCTGCGGCCCGATAAGTCTAACAGTCTCAGTTCCCCGCCGGGTTTGACACGATCGATGACGGAAGCCACCGCGAGGCCTTCCAGGCCCAGGCGCAGAGCGGCGCAGGGCTGCACTACTCTTTGGCAGATTTGAGAGTGCTCCCGTGCACCCCGTAACACTTCGAAGTCCAGAGCGCTATGCGAGTCTTGCTGCGCCTCCTCTCGCCAGTTCCCACGTAGGGAGGACGGGCAGACCTCAGCTTCAAGGAGGGCACAGGCCCCTGGGGCCCTAGGGGGGCCGCCAAGACACGAGAGAATCGAGGGCTCTGCGAGGCCTCTGCGAGCCTTCGCTGCCTCTTCTCTCATTACTCTGACAAGGCGCCACGAGCAATGGGAAGTCGCTTGGAAATTGGGAGCACAGTGTCAGGGCCTGGGCACGTTGCCATCGAAGCCACGCACTGTGGACTTGCATCGCAGCACAACGCGAAGCTGCTACAAGTCCAAAATTCGCGGTGAGCCCTTGCCGCCTGGGCTGTTTTCCCCAGACCCATCTCGTCTGCCAGCAGCACCCGGCCCCCACGCCGAAGTGCAAAGTTCACCTGGGCGGCGGTACGTGACGGCCTTCCTGATTCCTGGCCGCGGCTATGCATCTTGCTATGTTCCCAGAAAGATGGATAAATAGATCGGCAGATACATACACAGAGAGGTAGCTAGCTACAGTAGGTGGATATGTAGACAAATAGGTAGATAGGTAGAAAGCCAGATAGCTGGATATGTAGACAGGTATGTAAATAGGTATCTAGTCAGGCAGGTAGGCAGGCTGGCAGGTAGGTAGGTAGTAAATAATGTACATTTGACGTGCATGCATGCATACAGCCTACATGACATGGGTTTGCAAAGAACTATTAGACCTGCGTTGCCGGTAAGAACAAAGTAAGCGGAACAAGCTCAAGGGCCGGCAGTCGATAAGACACCCAGTTGTCTCCTTGCAGTCCAGGGCGCCGCCTCTCTTTGGTATGGGAGAACCTCCGAACAGGCGGCGGTTCACGTCTCAACACATGCGTGTGGACTTACTTGCAGCATCTGCCGGGAGCCTGGTGGCCTTCCCGGCTGGCTGCACCTTCGGGCAGGGCCTGATCCACTCACAAACACAAAGGACATAAGACATGCTTAGGGCTTAGGAGTGATCCAAAGAGGTTCTTGCCATTGCCACGAGAACGGCGATGCCGTCCGTCGCATGCATGCTAGTTGCTGGGTATTGATGCCGTCCGTTGCTGTAGTAGTGATGGCTGTGAATAAGGGACAGAGACGATGACGATGCTCGCGCCAGTGACGATGGCGACTACGACCACACACGACCGCGGCGGCGGCGCAGCGGTCGCTCTTGTATGGAACTACCAGAATCAGCGTCGCCACTGCATTCCCCCAGGCAAGCTGGCTGAGCCCACTGTCTCAAGACTCAAGAGCCAAGCCACTGCAGTGGTCAAGTAGTCACGTCACTTAGACTGTCCAGGAGCAGCAAGCTTGCACGAAGTACCTAACAGAACGAATTGGCATCCTCGATTCCTCGATGTCTGGCGCCTTCCCCATCACATCCGCAAGCAGAACATGAGCCACCTGGCGAACACTGGGGCGTGTCCAAAGTCCCAAGTCGGAGGCCATTCAGAGCTGGGGGGCTGACATGCAGCTGAGTGCTGACTTTCCTAGATTTGAATTGTTGGCCCCGGTCTCAGCTCGATGTCGTTCTACATGCTTGTGGCCAGAGCACATCAGATCGAGAAAAGCGAGAAGGAGCTGGGGCCCCGTATAATGGGGCGAAGGACTCCCGTTCACGACACAGAGTGAGGTCTTGCAGTGCTCTGCAACTGCAGTGGAAGGCCTTCTTCCTGACGTGAACTCTACCGAAGTTGCCTCAGCTGGACTCTGCAGGCTTTTCGAGCTCTCAGACCGCTCGAGGCTTCAAGACACAGCGGGGCTTCATGGACCAGAATGTCAAAAACGCGTTAACTTCGCCAACGGGCGGAAGTTCGGCACTGATGCGAGTACCTGAGTGCTTGAGCCCGAGCCGGGAAGCGTTGAGCATTCTAAGGTCTAAAGTTCGACCAAATCCGGTGTTCAACATAGCTTTGCACTCAAATCCTGGCCAAAGTTTTCCGCAGCAGTCGAAACATACCAAGTTTTGAACCATCGTTTCGTAATCTTCAACCACCACCACGAAACCCAAATCGAAAACACGTTTCAAATCATACTGTTTTCAACATGACTACCAAAGCACCAGTTTTGAAACCCATTTGTAAAAAAACGAAGCCGAGATACAAAAAAAAATCCTTAAAGTCGCCCATCTCATGGGCTACGCAACAGGCTGAGTTTGGGGTCGTCGCCAAGTTCGGAACCGGCTGAAAAGCTGCAAACTTCTCTGCCCAGACACCCAGTGCGGCGGCAGTTGCACCTGCAGACGAGGAGGATGAAACTGGTGTAACGAGGAACGAAGGAGGCTCGGGCTACGGCTACACACAGCCTTTGCAGGTCCCTGTAGGTCCAGCAATCGCTGCAGCACAGCCTTGTACCTCAGGGCGGAAAGGAAAGAAGAAAGGACGATCCAAGCAAAGACGCGGCGTCGGCGTGCTTCCGTTTTGATGCCGAGCTGCGAGGAGGACTCGAAGTGGAGCCTCTTCGTCTGAGTTTTCGCACCGGGCCACTGCCGCAGGGCTGCGTAGGCCTCCACCGGAGAGGAGGAGGGAAGCAAGGAGAAAAGCCTGGGGCGCTTTTGGGCGCCGGCCTTTCCTGGCAGCTTCTTCGAGGTCCGAAGCATGAAGCCTTCGCCTGAGCACGCCCAAGCACGCAAGCACGCTCTGCTTGGGACTCCCTGTGTCCGGCCAAGTGGCGTCCAAGCAGCTCAACCTGGGGCAAAAAAACTTCTGTCGAGAGTGGCTACAAGATCTCCCGTCTCCGGTCTCTCTCGTTCTCCCAGGCTTGATCCTGCTTGCACAGCGTGTGGGTTGGAGGCTAAGAACCCCCAAACCCTGCGTGCTAGCGCTACGCTGAGATGCGCTGAGTGTCCATGTCTGGTTTGATGGTGAGACCTGGAGCCGGAAGGATTGAGCTGGACCAGACTAGATCTCTAGTGCTCTAGTGCTCTAGTGCTGTGGTGTGGTCGGGAGCATTGCTACTCGTTCCGTGCTATAACAGCTCCGACCCCACGTTCTCTTCGCTGTTGAAAGTCGAAACTACCACATCCGGCCTCGAACCTTGTGACAGCTGTCAGCTTTTACTCTTCCGGAGCACTCCGCATCATGAAAAGCCATGGAGGTGGCGCCACGTGGCCTCGAAGTCACCATCGAAGTCCCTCACCGCATCATCCTGGGAATCTGGGCATATTTCACTCGGAGCATGAAATTTTCTGGGATTCATGCCATGCCGCAACATCCCACAATGTGTCAATGTGCCAACGGAGCTGGAGAATGCTGCCATGCAGCAATGGCGAGCCTGCCCTTCCAAGCTTCTGCTGGGCTTGGACTTCCTGGGCCGACATGCCGACATATGTCGATTAATTAGTACAGTTTAATCCGTGCTAGCTGCTAGCAGAAAGGCGTGTGAAGTTCTGTGGCTGAAACGGCTGGAGCCATTGAGACTGGGAGTGAAACTCCACGTTCCCGTATGCAGGCTCTGGCTCCCTTCGGAGGTTGGCTTGGACGCTGCGGCGCAGGTGGCGCAAGGCGCTGCGGCTGCGGCGACAGCGGGGCCGGCCGTGGCTGCGGAGCCTTGACGGGGTGAAGACTGCGCTTCGCGAGCCGGCTATGGCTAGGAAGAGTCGGACTTCGGTAGTGGCAATCCAAGAAGGGCCAAGCCCCAGCCTGCTGCTGCGGCTGCGACTGACAGTTCTTCTTGCAAAGTCCCTGACATCTGTAACCTTGCGGGGGGTGACAGTGCGGCTGCGGTGCCGACGGCTGCGACGGCTGCGGCTGCTGCGGCTGCTGCGGCTGCTGCGGCTGTGGTAGCCTCGCGGCTGAAGCAGCGACCCGACCCGAGATCCAGCAATATCCACAATTTTACTCAGCTGTTCCCTCAATCCATAAAGTTCAAGTCATCTGTCCGACCACCACAGAAGGCCGTAGCCCTCTTGAGATGCCTAAATCGCACAGACAAGTTGGAAGGAGCTGAACGTTGAGAGACAAATGAACGCGGAAACGAGAAGCTGAGATGACACTTCGTGTCAGTCGCTGGTTCCCCGCGGTTGCCTTCCAGTTGTGCTTTTTGCCCGCCACGACTTGATGCAGTTAGACATGTCACTAACAGACCCTTTCGCAAACGGCGCGACACACACACACACACACACACACATGCCGCCGGCAGTCGGGAAAAGTTACTTAGAGCACATGCTGAAGTCAGCCGCGAGACACGTTGCCGCTGACCCACTGTGGCTGCGTGGGCTGCAACTGCTGCTGCAGAGGTCGTGGCTGCGAGTAGTGCATTCCGTAGCTCCACGAGGGTGCCTGCCGTGCAGGCCGTCATCAATGCGGGTTGGCCTGCAGCTAAAGAAAGCACCTGCTCATCAACGCTTGAACATGTCCTGCTGGCGTAACCGAGCCTGTGCTGGCTGTGAAGCCTGCGGACGACCCTGCTGTTGTTGCTGGACGCACAACTCGCGATGAAAGGGCTGCTCAGTGCGATCCTGATTGTGCGCTGGTGAAGCTGCTGGCGCTTGACCACAAGGCTGCATCGCGGCAGCTGTGAAGGTTGCTCGCGGCCGTGAAAGGTCTGGTCTTTGGATCAGCGGAGTCTGAAGAGTTCGGAGGTGTCGGAAGCCGAGCTCAGGCTGTTCGTGGGGAATTGCGCATTGCGATCTGCAAGCGCTGTGACACTGAGCTGTACCAACAGCGCCAGCTTCTGGTTGACCGCCGGTTTCAGACGGTCTGACAAGGCGCAAAAACAGACTCTCACCAGCACAACAAGGAAACGACATCCTGAGCACCCAGCTTGTATTGTGAGCGCACGGGAGATGGCCTCAGCAGCTCGCGCGGCATGGCATCGCGCGGTTGGTGGCATCGTATCCACTGCATACCGCATGTCATCCCACCTGATGCACGGTTGAGAAGTTCTTGCTGACATTGGGAGGTGGGGTTCCTTGGCATGCCGAGTGCCGGGCTGCGGTTGAAACGTGAATCCTGGGCGGCTCGGAATCCAGTGCCCGGCTTTGCCATGCCAACCACGCAAGTCACGCAAGTGCCTTCCAAAGACGCCGACAGCGTGCTTGCAGGAGGGCAGGCCCATGCCTCCACGAAGGGCAGGAGTTGAGCTATGTGGAACCCTGCGGAGAATGTCGTGCGATGCGACGGAGTGGCTGCACGCAAGCTATCCCGAGCTGAGACCAGAAAACGCAAGTTTTTCCCGGCCTACTGGGCTTCTGATTACCGGCCTAGCAACGACATGCACTGCTACTTGGAACGGACCCGGGTTTGAAGTGTGATGTTGCAAGCAAATTATTATCACCCACCTCTTGCCTTTCCCAGCACACGTGTATAATACCACAACTATCAGTAGTGTGTTCGTCGAAATAGTAGAAATGGTGGAAGCGGTAGCGGTAGTGGCAATCGCAGTAGCATTAGCCGTAGCAGTAGGAGTAGGAGTAGGAGTAGTGGTAGTAGTAGTAGTAGTAGTAGTAGTAGTAGTCGGCGTCGTAGTAGTAGTAGTAGTGGTGGTGGTGGTGGTGGTGGTGGTGGTGGTGGTGGCGATAGTGGTCGTGGTAGTGGTCGTGGTGGTGGTAGTGGTAGTGGTAGTAGTAGTTGTAGTGGTAATGGTAGTAGTAGTAGTACTTGTTGTAGTAGTTGTAGTAGTTGTAGTAGTAGTAGTAGTAGTTGTAGTAGTAGTATTAGTAGTAGTAGTAGTAGTAGTAGTAGTAGTGGTAGTAGTAGTAGTAGTTGTAGTAGTAGCAGTAGCAGTAGCAGTAGCAGTAGCAGTAGCAGTAGCAGTAGCAGTAGCATTCATTCAGGAGCGTCGCACAATCCGAGTGCATGACGAGGGGGTCAGACCTTTGGTCCGGCTGCTCAGGGCAGCTGTGCTATGGTAGCACAACCTGTAAAGCAAGAGCTACTTATGAGCAACTTGCTGAGGCCTACTTGGCAACTCACACAATGTTCGGATGCAGCCATTGCATCAGTCCATCTCTTGCAGAAAAGTGGTTTTCGCATGCTCCGGTCCCTCAGACTCACGTTCATCCGTCAGCTGTCGAGAGGATTCCAGCGACGAGTAGGTTGTGCTCTCCGTGTGGGCAACAGAAGAAGAGCTGCCCGCTGCCAGCCATAGGGAAGCGCTTCCAGTGTGTGCGCAGGTATCGCCTGAAGCATCCACTGAGCTTGAATCATCCCAAAATTGCTCAAGACCCATCACACCTGTTCCATCCGTGGTTGGCGGCTGCATAGGTGGAGGCGGTACCTCCGTGGATGAAGAAGCCATGGGCACCTGAGCTGCAGCAGTACACAATTAATTATGGAATGCAGGTGGATGACTCAACGCAGTTCGCTGCAGCGATAGCGTGAGCAGTGCGCGGTGCTGTCTTTTCCAAGCCGTATGCAGATGCAGGCATCGGGAGCTATGCGGACCCTATGTGGCCCAGCTATCTACAGGTTTCCCCAACCTGAGATTGATGTGACTGGCATGTTGCAGGTGCTGCTACAGGGCTGCCGTGGGGCTTAGAGGCAACGCGGCAAAGGCAATTAAGGCAAAGGGGGGGCCAGTAATTCCGTCCAATGTCATGGTCTGCAGGAGCCGAGGGCATACGACAGCACATGCAGCTGCTAAGCGACAGCTACTACTGCATCCACAAGGCAGGTGTCAGCACAGAACCGTGGGCAGCGGCGACATCGCTTGAGCAGCGCTCAGGGGTTCTGTCCCAGGCGGTAGATCAAAGCCTAGAGCAGTAAGCGTGTCACGTGCTGGCTGCTTCAGGCTCTGCCAGTGTCGAACTGTATAGCCCACCAGAGTGAAGCGGTTGAACCGCCTGGTTCGATCTGACTCGTCATGCCCCGCATGCAGGCATAGATGCGGGGGAAAAAGGAGCGCATGGTCCATGAGCGAAGTGGGACGTGCCACGCCGCAGCTCGCCTTGATGCTCAAGATATTCCGAGCCCTCCGTGTCCTCCACCCAGAGCCCACTGTTGGGTTGTTGGCTGAGGCTGACGATCAGATTCTCCTGGGGACCGTTCTGGCTGTCCTTGTGCGGCGGGGTAACATAGTCGATGTTGACAGCGATGCTCGTGAAGCGATGCTCCGGGCAGAGATGCTTGATGAAGAAGGTCATGAGTCTACATACGTTGCGATGGACTAGGGTGGCTTTGCAGATGCCCACCAAGGCCCCTCGAGCACAGACACCCACGTGAAAGCTCTGCGCCCGGACGTGCTTCTTCATCATAGCCTGCCTCGGCACCTCAGAGTCGAGGAGAGCAACAGTTTGACGAACAGCCTCCCAGAGCGAGCAGTTACCCTGACAAAGCAGAGCCCACGCCAAGTTTTCTGCCTGACTGTATCCACCTCCCTGGAGTGCGTCAGGCTGTGGCATGATAACTGATGGCGGAGCGGGTAGTGCAAGAGCCAAGGCGTCAGAGTAAGCAACAAACTTGGTGTAGTTCTCCGGCTCCAGCATAGCCTGGGCATAGTCGAAGATGTTGTTGCGTGCCGCCACACTGACAGCGGGTGGAACACCCATGCCCTGCCAGCTCAACATGTCTGCCAGGCAGGTGGTGAGCAGATACGTCGGAAACGAGATGCGGGTGGCCATGTGGACGCGTGCCGACCTGGGCACGTTAAAGTAGGACCGACCTGGGCCCTGCAAAGCTGTAGCTGCTGCAAGCGGAGACATATGCGCTGTGCACGACGGATATGGAGCACAAGGTGATGCAAACTGCGCGGAAGCTGAGTACGGCACCGGCACGGCAACGCAGGATTTCCTAAGTGCCGACCTAGGCGCTGCTCCACGATCGACCTAGATCGTAGAGCACTCGAACCAGCTTGACACGCAGATGGTTGCAAGGAATGAAGGGCTGGCAGTGCATGCGAAACACACGAAAAGAATGCAAAAGGCGGTGGGGACTGCAAGTATTTATGGCTGCAAAGATGCATGTGTGGTGCGCTTCGGCAACAGCATCTGAAACGAGCAGTAAATATGCAACCAGGCAAGACGACCGCGGCTTGTGCAGAAAAGGCCGTCTCGCCACAAGTCACAAGAGGCTGTTATTCGCGCAGACTAGCGGCAGAGTGGAGCCCGATCAGATATGCATCCTTCCGAATATGCTGTAGGTCCCTAGAAGTAGGGGCATGGGGCACACGCGAATCGTTACAAACCTGATACTGCCAAGCTCCAGCATGCTTGGTACAGAGAGCAGCCTGATAGTGGCCTTCAGTGACATTAGGCCCCTGATGAAAGATCACCCACGTTACATGGAAATGGCTCCCATCTCACCGCATCACTGCTCGGCTCCGTGAAAGCCGGTAGTTGGATGCACACACATGCGTGAATGGGCAGTGGGCTCCGGTCTTTAGCACTTCCCACATACCGACACAGCTGCAGCATGACCAGATGGGAGTGTGCGACCAAAGCATGCCTCGCATATTGTCTGTGCCATACATCTATCATCGCTTGCAAGCCTGTGCTCGGAAAGTGGAGCATCAGCGGGCAGCGAAGGTAACCTGTTTCAGGCACAGTATGTGGATTGGTGAGGCGCGATTGCCATTCACCATCAAAGGCTGAAGGTTGGGCGGCTTCGATCACATGTGTAATGAACTCAACCACATCTTGCTGCCTGTGTAGGTTTCGCCAGCCACGGAGCAATACCTGCATGCCGGAAGATAAGGTGTTCCTGCATTGGCAATCACAGACATACCTGCCTGAGCCAGCCCCGAACAGGCCAGTGGATCGGCCATCATGATCCCTGACCAGTAAAGGACCTGCAGCGACTGCAGTGATGCATTGGCATCGGGATTATGGAGCCTAGCCATGGGGAGTCTGGCGTCCCCACGGGACACCTGCCGTGTCGACCTAGACACGGCCGCCAGTGGTGGCCGACCTGGGCCACCTACTGGTGGCGCCTCGCCGTCCAGTCGCAGTACGCCGTGGCCTGGAACGCCGCTTCCAGCTGCTTGGCCAGCTGAGGTCGTTGTCCCCGGTCCGGGCGAAGGCGGCTTGCAACCAGCTTCATGCAGGAACATCCAGATAGTTTTTGGAGTCCGGCGTGGACTGCGGCTGCAGCGGGCGGTCGGAGCCCGGCCTGGGCCGTTTTCATGGACTTGGTGTTCTTGAAGCCGGTCAGAACTCCCGGCTGGGGCACTGCCTGGTTCAGTTGGTCCAGCAGGGCGAGGACCTCTTGGTGCTTTAGTGGCTGCTGCTTTGCCACCACCTCTTTCCTTTCCGAGGGGTTCCACTCCAAGTACGTCCAGCACGGTGAGAGGGCGTTTTCCCCGTCGACCATCCAGTTGAGGGTCTTCTACTTCTCCACCAGGGAGTCGTCCTGAGATACCTTGTCCAGGGCTTCTGCAGGAGCTTCGGCAGGGCTAACATCATGATCACTTTGAGGGAGACTCGGCCTTGCACGAACTGCTCCTGCCAGTTCTCCGCTGTTTCGCGGAGTTTCTGCAAACAGCCATGGTCTCCGACATCGCTGAACATGATGAAGGAGGTATCCTGACGAAGTCGACACAATTCCTGATCGTGTCGCAACGTCATCCGGGTCATCATCTGGAGCAGCACCTGGGTCTGGTGATCGACCGTGCCCGAGGTGGCTGTCTCCTCCTCCGGAGACTTCCGCTTGGAAGACCATTGGCCCGGCTGGCGCCCCGTTCCCTTCGACGACGGCCGCCTCCACTTCTGGCTCTGCCCTTTGTCCTGGGACCAGTCCTTGGCCTCCTTCCACCAATCGTCCGCCTGGACCGATGCCGAAGCTTGGCTCGTGATGCCCAGAGCTAGCAGCTCCTGCTGGGCCACCACTGCACGCTGGCGCTCCTCCGTCTCCATCGGTGCTGCCATGCTGCTCGACCTGATCACGCGAAATCAACAGCAACTGGGCAAGTGAGGCTCGGTACACCACTGGGCACGCTGCGAGGTGGCGCGACGGCTGCTTATTGTTTAGCCCGCAGTACTTACACGGCGTCAGTGCCAGGAGCCCAAGCTGGGAGCAGCGAGCCACAGCACGCTTGTGAACAGCATGAGTGCAGGGATGACTCAATCGGATATGCTGCTTAAACCCCGTGCGCTCAGCCCATTGTCCACACAAGAGGCAGTAGGAAGCACACTCTGCCAGCTTTGTCTCGAAAGCACTTGAAACTGCGGATCATCAAGTAGACATGCTGGGAGAGAGTCGGCGACCGTTGAGGGCTCGGTGTGCACAAGCTCAGGTGCTGAATGCACGGGACGCTCCTGAGGATTAGGGCTCCTAAGCCCATCCTCCCGAGCAGAGGCTACCTCGACCGCCTGCTCGGCGGAGCGCCCTGGATCCGCAAGCACTGCATCTGCAGATGTCATTGGAGGCTCTTTGCCGTGTAAGACAGGACACGCCTGCTTCAGGTGCTTTTTAAAGCCTTCAAAACGAACAAACTTCTTATTACAGTGCTTGCATTGTGGCATACCCTGGACTGCGTGCATCATGTACGAGAGACGCGTGGGCTTTTCTGTCGGCGCCATGCGGGCGTACTCTTCCGTGTGCTTTCTAGCCATATGAGATAGCATGTGCTGACGATTGATGCAAACAACGCCACACACAGTGCATGGCACACCCGGGACTCCAGCACGAGTAAGAAACACCTCCTGAGAAGGCATTTCTTGCGACGAAACCCCAGTCAGCTGATCCAACTGCATTTGAAACCAGCGACGCTCGGTGTCACTGTGCAGTGCCAGGCAGCGCTTTCGCAGCAATTTAGTCAGCATGTCAGCCGGGGAGGGGACACTAAGTCGAGTTCTAAGCTTCTGACTCATGATAGAGATGGGCCGGGACTTCGCAATTGCTCGTAAGGCACGTGCATCAGTGGCATCTAGCACTCTCAGTACGGGCAGTGTCAGGCCCACTGCATGAAGGCCATAGAGCAATGAGCTGACCACGCAGGCTCGATACAGCCGCACACGCTGGGTCAGGGACAGCACGCCCGAATGCAAGAGTTTGAGCAGGCGCTGACGGTTTTGCGCCGCAGCCTTTTGCCTATGCATAAACGTCTGCATTTCAAAACCGGTGTCGCTGGCAACTACCCCAAGATACACTATTTGCGATACTTGCATGATGCGAAGCGGCCTATGTGGCTGTCCCAGATCAATGAAAACTCCCTCTGAAGTTTTCTGCGCATTCTTACGCAGCCAGCGGGCAGCGAGGTTACCCGAAGCGCTATGACAATCTTAGATTTTTCAGGGTTCACCTGCATCCCATTCTGCTTGAGCAGATCAAAGGTCACCTGGACACATTTGCAGACGAAAGTCAAGTCCGCTATGTCCTGCACCTCCCACGACAGATGTTTGTCGTCTGCAAATATCGTCATGAAGGCGGCAGCCCACTGTGGTGAGGTGGCTTCGGCAATGCGATCGTACAACCAAGCTGTGTACAGGGCATATAAAAGTGGTGATAAAGCACGCCCCTGTCGAACCCCAACCTGCATATCAAAGGAATCACGAAAATTGCCGTGCTTAACCTTATACTTGCAGGATTCATGGATCGCAAGGACCGCAATGCGTAGCTCTGACGGCACTTCAGCAGCCTGCAGCGCAACGTCGAGGGCTTCTCGTCCCAATAGGTCAAAGGCACGACTCAGATCAAGACTTATCATGATTCCGCCTGTGCAGGTTTTGAGTGCTACACCAGCACGACGATCGTGTGTGCTGACCGTGTTGTTTCTTAGCTGTTCCCGAACCCGATGGCAATGGCTAGCAACCCGACTAATAGCTTGATCTATTGACTTGTTGGGGCAGTAAGCGTATTGCGGTACCCGTTGCGGGCGCTCTTGGACCACTGCAAGCAGGCGAGTGCGAAGAACGATGGCTAGCAGCTTTGCACTGGGATCCTGAAGCCCTAAGGGTCTTAGATCCTTGGGAAGTCGAGTGGACTTGTTGGGCTTGGGAAGAAGACTAAGATCGCAGTCTACTACTTCCAATGGAAAGCAGTCGTTCTCCTCACTTTCGTGAAGAAGTTGCTCCATGAGCTGCGAGAGCTCCGCAGGGCACAGTTTCCACATTTCAGCTGGGAGACTACCATGGGGCACAGCTTTGCCATTCTTAAGCTGTGAGAAAGCAACCTCAACCTCAGAGGCAGTTATGTTGAGAGCTTCCAGGGATGGGCGTTGGTAGTCAGTTGTCCTGCTGAAAGCCCTCATAAATCGCCTGAAACTCCTGCTTCTGATCCAGCAGCTTTCCGTCCGGCGTGCGGATGCGCACCTTCTCTACGTGCTTTTTGGGGGCCAGTTGATTAAAAATCCAAAAAACCTCAGACTGATTCTGTTGCTGGGAGGCTTTCTCGGCAAGGATTATCAGCTCTTCTAGGTGCTGCCTTCGGGTGAGTCTACTGGTCTTCTGCAGTGCCCGAACACTGGCTCCATGCCTGCCAAATTTCGGTGCGATCCGGGGAAGACCCATGCTCTTCAGCAGTCTGTGCTGACGCCACATTTCTGCTATGCAACTCTTAACCGCAGGTGCATCACGGGGTCGAGGGGCATTAGAGGGGCGACTAGGGTAAAGAGTCTTACAGTGGTCCAAAACAACCCGACTAAGCTCCGTGAGACGGGCACTAATTAGGGGCAAGGGTTTCTTGGGTCTGTGCCAGGGCTGAGAGCATGGTCTGACGTACCTGCTCAGCTTCTGCACCCTCACTCGCTGCAGCACAGCGCAACTGACGCATGGAGCAACCTCCAGGATGCGCAGGCTTGGCTCGTGTCCATCCCGCAACCCAAAGTAAGCTCGCAACCACGGGCCTGTGCTTGGGTCCTCTTCTCCAAGGCATCAGGTCGAGGTGGACCGGGCAGGCCCGGCGTGCTTCCGGATCAGCAGTGAGACGCCTAGTCATGATAAAATCAAGCTGCGTGCGCACCTGTTGATTGCGGAAAGTGTGACTCTTACTGGGTGCGGCAGATCCCCAAGAATTTAGGAGAGTGATGTGGTGAGCCTGCAGTAGCGCCTCGAAGTCAGGGTCAGCGTGACGCTCAGTTTGAAGAACCCCCCGTCCTATGAGGCCAGGTAGCGGTTTGATGCCAGAATTGACGTCAAAGCCCATGATAAGCAGGTGACGTACAGGGAGAGCATGTAGGAGGGCGCCAAGCTTATTCCAGAATCCATGCCGGAGCCGTGCTATCACCTCCTTCCGTCTCTCCTGCCATACGTGCTGATATCCAGCAACCAGGTCCAAAGTTACCTTGGGAAGTACGCAGCGGGCGTGCAAAAGACGCCCCGGTATCAGCGCAACTCGTGACGATATGAAGATACCTACCCCATGCACTGTACCTGCTGGCGGGGTCAGGACTTACAATCGCATGCCACGTGCCGATTTGCCAGCTGGCTTCTTGCTTACTACATCCCCAGTGCAACTCCTGTGCGAAAACAATGTCCACATCTTGTTGTTTTTAAATTTTGCAACCAGTCGCAGAAAACATCATATGAGGCAGGATCCAGGCCACCCAGATTATAAGTCATGGTTCGGATACGTGGTCGACGCGGTGCAGTCCGCTGGGCCTGTCCCTCATTCCAGAGCTGTTTGGTGCAGTGGATACACTGCAACGGAGTTCAGTTCCAAGTGATCGCGCTGTCCTCCATTCTCCACGATACCAGGTGGCACCATGTGCCTCTGCTCGACGCCTGGCTCGCCTGTATGCTCGTTTACGTACGTTACTCATCGGAGCAGCCTTCGCTTCTCCATATCCAGGGTTTTTCATCTCCAAAGAGACTTCAGTACCGGCTGTGGGACAAGGTACAACCCTCGGGTCTGCTGACATGTGGGTTCGTTGCAAAGTGGGACCCGTGCAGCCAGAGAAGGCAGTTAGAGCAGAAATTGTAAATCAGGTACAGTACCAGCAGCCAGCTTGGAACAATCACCATATGAACACTCGCAGGACTGCGCTCTAACTCACCTGCGCTCCAGCCGAGACCCTTAGTAGCAGTAGCAGTAGTAGTAGTAGTAGTAGTAGTAGTAGTAGTAGTAGTAGTAGTAGTAGTAGTAGTAGTCGTAGTAGTAGTATCAGTAGTAGTAGTGGTAGTGGTAGTGGTAGCGGTAGTGGTAGTGGTAGCGGTACTGGTAGTGGTAGTGGTCGTGGTAGTGGTAGTAACACCTGCTTCTAATTCTAATCCAGGAAGGGAGCGCCCTGTTTCGTCGCACGCGACCGCGCCATGAAACAGACAGGCCTTGTGGATCCATTCCACGAACTTGCGATGCGGCTCTGTCATTTATGTCATGATCACGTCAGGGTTTGCAACAACGAGGACCGCCGGAAACTCGGCGACCGAGCCATGACGGTTTCGGAAAGCTGACGTCCTGTACGATGAACTTGGTACCACACGGTTTTTTAAACTTTCGTCTGCCAGGCTTTGCTGCCCCACATAGATCTTCTGAGCGCATTTCGAGCCACCGGGCTTGGACACCAGCAAGCAGACAGCAAGATAAGTGCGACACGGACCACCATGGCCGGAACCCCGTGGCGGCGAGACACCGGACAAGAGGGCTTCCGAAACACTGGGCCGCCTCGAGACCCAATCCACGACCACGTAGACGCCGGAACATGGAACACCGGGACATCTCATTAGATGCCACCACACCCGGACACCGAGAAATCTTGGCACATAACGCAGGGACAGCGACGCAGCACGAACCACGACAACGACAAAACCGGTGTATCGAGACACCAAGACGCCTGGAGTCTAACAAACAGAGGCAACCAAAAACTTGGACTTGGCACACGCGATGACCGATGATATTTAGTTGGCGTTTAACTGGCTCAAAGATAAACCCACCGCTTCCTGGCAACACCAGCTAAGCACACGAACGTGACTGGAACTAGCGAGAGACTGAGACACTGTGCAATTGCACTCGCCAGCACGACGCTTGTTCACGCCATGTGGCAACAGCCCTGTTAGCCCGGAAGACTCTTCGCTAGCCAATTGACAAGATGGGTCGGTGGGCACTTCAGCATCGCCCCCGACATGGCCACGGTCGTTCAGAGACCTACACAAAAAGCATGCACCGCAAAACTCGCGGGGTGTTTCGCTCAGCGAAGCATTTTCGGTATCCTGCACCTGATTCTCTTCGGCTGGCATACACTGTCGTACCTCGTTGGGACGCATCCATACACTAGCTCACAGATCAACCATGATCTACCCATATTAACCCCACCACTTCACAGCAACGCTGCATGAAGGATGTTTGGGAACGTGGCCGCGATTACGGGCATACCGTTCAGACTGAGACCTTTCTGAAGCTTTTGCACGGTGGGCTCTGAACTTCATCACCTCCTCCTCTACTGGTAGTCTCACTGCCAGGTTGAACGGGAGGTAGGTTGGTGAGTTCGCCTGTATCCATGCAGCTTCTCGGCCTTCGGAACCTCAACAATGGCTCCGTGCTTCCCAAGCAACCATGAACGCAGGCGCACTAAGTCTTTGGCACTACTCACAACGCACTGTCCTGAGCTGTCTGTACGGCTTTGTTTAGTAGCCTCTTCTACAGCCTATGGACATGTCATGGATGTAGAAAGTCGTGAGGCCCTCCACAGCTTTGGGCCATGCGCCTCATCAGTCACACGGATAGCGTGTCCAGCTATACAGGTCTTTGCACTGGAATGCCAAACTCCTCCTTGAGGATCCGTTTGCACAACTTAAGACCTTGGCAAGGGCTTACCCTGCTAGGTCCTTCCCCGGATACCTCGTCTGGTAGGCTCAACAGGAGGTTGGGCATACAGATGGAAGGCACCTGCGGATTGCAAATAAAATTGCTCGGGGTGGCCGACGTGCACGTCAACACGCCTTGCACCTGTGGAGAGGAACATGTCTGTTCGACATGCTCGTTTGTAGGGTTGGATCCGCGGGGGCTGGATCAGTGGGCTTGGCAAAAACCGAAGTTATCAAAATCAGAAGTCAACCTGAAGAAAGTTGAAAAATACATGAAAAGATACAGTATTACTTCTGTCCAAGCCGGTGTGTTCAACTAAGCAACCGGTGACCCCTTGCACCGACATTGGCACGATTGGCTGTAACAAGGAATGTCCAAGCCTGTGTTCAACGAAGCAACCGGTGACCCCTTGCACCGACATTGGCACGATTGACAACAAGGAATGTCCAAGCCTGTGTTCAACGAAGCAACCGGTGACCCCTTGCACCGACATTGGCACGATTGACAACAAGGAATGTCCAAGCCGGCGCTGTTACTATTGCACGTGTTGTGCCATGCCACTGACCCCTTGCACCGACATGGGCACATCGGGCAAGGTCACAGTGGATGGCATCATTATTGTTTCCTCACACTGCTCAGAACAACCTGTCAACTTAAACAGGTTGCTGCAAGGTTGAGGAAATCTTGAGCCAGCATGGCATTGCTTGGCAAGGTTGACGATTCGATTTGAGGAAATCTTGACTACCTCTCCAGCCAGAAGTACAATTGACAACAAGGAATCCTCCTCAAGTGTGTTCACTGAATTGAAAGAGCCACATCAATTCTGTTCCTCAAAGTGTGCCCACTGAGACAGCCACATCGACATGAGGCTGCAAGCAAATCAGACTTGTGTCTCAATTGTTATGCAACCTTCTCATCAGTCATCCCACTGTTTTACCTGCGTTGCTGCATGGCCTGCTGTTGCTGTTGTGTCACAGCATTCACACCCCAAAAACCAGTCACGGCAGATTGGCTTGAAAATCACGCAGCTCAGTAAGCTATGAAACGTATTTTGGCTGACAAAGCGGGTCGTCACAACAGGTTCCGGACAATCTGCGCAACTGCTTCCCCGAACATCGAAGTGTATTCCCCACTAGCCTGTACATCTGCTGACATACCGGTGAAACGGCCGTCTTCGCCTCGGCTTACCAGACCAATGAAAGCATTATGATCTGGTCTGGGCCTGGCCAGGTTCTCAAAATCAAACCCAGGCAAATGCCACAGTTGCAAGGGCTTCACTGACTTTCCGTTAAAGGCACCCATGTAGGTGCAAGTCTTTTCGAAGCCACAAAAGGACAGAACTGTTTTGACACACTCGAGGTGCGGCATACAGGAGCTGAGCGGCTGTTCCACCACAGGGCAGCACTCACATGCCCATCCCAGGAAAATCCCAAGTGAGCAAACAAGGGCCTGACAATTTCCCTGCAATACAAAGTCCCGCTCAGTCCATGAGCCTTCCCAGCCGTTGCTTTCAGCACGTTGGGCATGAAATGAGCACATAATGACAAAAGAGGAGCACGGGGTGCCCCACCAATGCAAAGCCTTCTTCTCACACGCTGTGGCTGCATCCAGAAACAAACGCAACCCTTTCGCCAGCAACATGTTGTGTTCGTCATTGTAGAGTATGTCAAAGCTGCACCCACGGAGACCGGATTCGATCAATTTCTTGGAAAGTTTGGCGCTCCCTGAATAGTATTCAATATATTGCAGCAACCCCGCACATTGATGAGGTCCCACATCGATTGAACCTGCTTCAATTTTGGCTCTGTTGTCATAGCTACGGCTAATGATGCACATCAGCTGACACTCGATGGTTCGGTTCTTCAATGCGGGATAAGCCAATCCAATCAGCCCATGCCATTTCATGGCCACTCTGCCCACATTGAAGTCCTGGTCGTAGCGCAAAAAATTTTGCACCAAGATCCTTGCAACCAGCAGCCTGTGACACCAAGGCTCTGTGGACCTGGCCAGCAAGATCAATTGGGGATGATGATAAGTATTTATTACATTAAATACATATTATAACAAAATCTGTGACCCATAAGTTTGAACAGACTCCGGCCTTGGGGAGAAAGACAAGGAAGCAAACGGAAGGAAATGTGAACATTGCAATCGCGACGTTTGCTGGAAGACATCCTCTACCCAAGTGTCAAACCGATCAACTTCAACAGTTCCTGTGATTGAAACTGCATCTGTAAAATTCAGGGCAGGAAGAGTACACGGGCGCTCCGCTGATCTACCTCCCAACTCAAATGACTCTGCAGCATTCTTTTTCCTTTTGCATTTCTTGCGTGCTGGCTGCACAGGCCCAGCACTACCACTGAAGACCAGCGATGATCCCAGCACATGCTGGCACGGCCACTGGAAATTGGACATGTTGGTGATTCACTGACTCACAAAGCACTTAGTTGTTGTCCACACAGACTCAACCAGAGACTGTGCCATAGTGGAACTGCGGTTTGCAGAGTCTGATTCAGACACTTGATTCACATAACTTTAAACCATACCTCTGGTCCAACTTGAGCAACAGATTGATTCCATGCTTGCCTGGCATATCAAGCAAATTCCGCAAACTAACTGGAAACAATGTCAGGAAGGCTCTTTTGCTGATCGCTTTCTCCCCGAGCAATCTGCAGCATAACTATGGTGAGACTTCATGTCATCTTCAATTGCACACTTCAGGCATTCAGCAACTGTAATTGCAACTGTAAAGACTCAATCACAGAATGAACAGCAACCCCGCGCGCAAGTTGAAGCCAGAATTGTGAATTGAACATGTTGCCGCTATGACAGCAGGAGCAGTTTCACACACATTGGACTCGGCCGGATGCACTCATTCCCTGTGATTTCTTGAATCGACCGAAGACTTGAAGCTAAGAACACGATACATACATGACATTGACAGCAATCTGCAACCTGCTGACATGTTTTCCCCTGTGATGTGTTTATCACCAAAAAAACTGAAGAGGCTGATTGGCATACTTTGTAGGCGGAGGCATTGCGTCGATAATCGGGGCAAGGCGTTCCAGGACAGCCTCAGGGATAGTACCAGGCTGAGAGTGAGGCGGCAGTTGCCTTTCGGGTTTGGCCTTCTCCCACTCTGTCCATGCCCAGCGATGCACTTGAGCCAGTGCTTGCTTCCACTCTGATCTGTTGTGAGCAAAGCTTTTGCTGCAAGATTTTTTCCCCTCACTTGACACATACTACTTTGTCATGATCTCGGCTTTGAAGCGATGATCGTTGAAGCTGAGACGCAACCTGAAGTCTTCGGGTGGATCCAACTCCGACAGGAAGTCGGGAGTGTTATTCAAGTGGGGACCATGCTCGCGCGGAGCACGTTGCGACGCCTGGCCACGATGTGCAGCATCATCAAGGACCTGCGCAGAGGCTGATCCGCTCGAGGACGAGGCCTGTGCCATTCCACTGTCCCTTGGCCCGGATATTGGATCCGGCAAGGTCCCATTGGATGGCTGTGCTTGCACTGTTGTTTCCTCGTGTGCGACCCCAGCACCACCAAGCACAGAGTGTGGACGGGAAGCATCGACACAGGGCTCCTCCGCCGGGGGGCGGGGCTCTCCTTCACCAGTGTGTGGACTGGGTGGATCGGCACAAGGCTCCGGGGAGGGGGCGGGCTCTCTTGGACTGGGAGCATGGACACAAGGCTCTGCCGGCAATGCCAATGAATCAGGATTTGCTCGATCGTCCACGATCATGTCCAACAGCTGGCTTGCCAACTCCTCTTTGAGTTCAGCGATATCTGGATCTTCTTCCACTGCTGGTCCGGGCATTTCTTCGAGCACCTGCTCCTTGCGTTTTCGTGACACTGCTTGCCTGCGAGCCAGCCCTTGCAAGGCCAAAGCTGTGCCTCTTCCAAACCCTTTGCCTTTTCCACGGCCTTTGCCTTTTCCTTTGCCCTTGCCTTTGCATTTTGCTTTGGCACACGGTTTTGACTTTGCTTTGGCTTTTGCCATAGCTCTCCTCGCCTTTTTGGCCTGCAATCAAATCACAATTGAGTCACAATTGAGTCACAACAATTGAGTCACAAGCCTAGCTCAGAAACTCACTGGAAGGTCTTGCCAAGGTGCCTTTTGTTCAGCAACCTTCTCATCCCACATGTTTTGCCAACGTTGTCGCTCGGCCTGCTGTTCCTGTCGCATCAGATCTTTCTCCAGGTCCTGGAAATCCTGTTTTTCTGAGGGCTCCATGTTTTCCAACAATGCTGCTAGAAAACCATCAGGCATATCTGCATCAGGAGCCTTCTGAGTGTCTGACTCTGCAGCTTCACGGCAAGCTTCTGCAAACTCTTCTCCGAAACACGCCTGACACTGTTTCAACAACTCCTTCTTGGAATTCTTGTGGGGTTCCGTCACATTCAAGTACTCCGCCATCAATGTCAACTCCGCAAATGTCCTTTTGTGTCCGGAGCGCAAAGTGTATTGCACAAGTGGTTCCCAACCACCCGCGGCTTTGAAATAGAGTCCTGCATGTGTTGACAATTTCGGAGTGGCTTCACATGCTTCCCATTCCTCAGGGTTGTGAAGGAACTGCCATGAGCAACCGGCCTCCACTTGCAACTGCCAGCCCGAGCACCTGCCGCCCTCATCAACTTCGGACAACCGCCATGCCAACACTGCCCATTTGAAGGATCCCAGAACAATGTAGGTCTCTTCCACATTGCGCAAAGTAATGATTTGCCCAAACTGGGCAAACACAGCCCACAAGCAGTCCTCAGGAACTTGAATCAATTGTTGTAGTCAGCATGGCATTGCTTGGCTTGGTTCATTCGATTCTGCGGTGGCTGTTCTTAAAACAGAGCAATTCAATCACAGACCGCTACTTTGCTGATTCACCCCAGGCCTTCAATTTCACGTTCTGCATGCTCAATGTTGTTCTGCGAATAGTAGCGCAGGAAGGACCATGCTGCTGCAGAAACGACCAATTGTTGTTCAGAAATGGTGTCCCGCGTTTTGGCTGCTAGGACTTTCGACATTTCCTTGGGGAGCTTGTGATGTGCGGCCACAAATTCT